AGGCTTGTGCGTTCCCTGTGGTGTGTGTTGGATCTGACTAGAGATCTGTCACCAGAGAATGTGTTGATTTATTCTTAACTGCTTGTAGTATAGGGATTATAGAGCCCAACCACAGAAGCAAAGGATGTGGAAAAGAGCTTTCTGCATCACAGAATAAAACTGTGTGGTTCAGTTGTTGGAGAGGAAAGACGGGTGATTAGAGAGGCAGGCAGATGCCAAAAACTAGAGGAGTTCTGAGCACTGCTGAAGAAATGCACCAGCTTTGCAGACCTTTAGCAATGCTGAGATCCCCATCAATGTTTACCAAAGTATGGATAGTTTTATTTGAAAGACAAATTAGTGAAAAACAGCTCCTAATGAAGGAAAATAAGCTTGTAGCTCAGCAGAAAGGAATAGCAAGGTTTACAGTAATAAATAAAATTTTCAAGGGATACAGTAATAATGTTGTTTATTGTAGTTGATTGTTTTTTGCATCTAGACCTGAAGTTAGGTTGCTACACATGATTTATATTAGTAATTCAGGTTTGCTAAATATCAATGATGTTTGGTGAAATGCAACTTTCAAAGACAGTTTTTGTCATCTGATACAAATTTCCCACTAAATGTGACAAAGGAAGGAAGTAGGATTTGCTCTTAACAGTAACTGTAATCATGATGTTTTGCAGGCTTATGTTAGCAATAATAATGTTTATGTAAAAGCTTCACCAACAGCAGAACATGTGCAAATCACTAATAACGGAGAAGAAAATAAAATTTTCAATGGAATACCAGATTGGGTTTATGAAGGTAACTATATAAAGCATATTTTACTTTGCATGATGATGTAAAAACATTGGTTTATTTTAATTATTTTATTATAATTGTTATCTTATTTCTTATAATTGAAAAGTTCAAAATAATCTAAGTCTGGATTTTAACAGAAGCAGGAATCCTTACCCAAGCTTAATACCTGGTTAGTGTGAGGATCTAAGAATGGAAATGAGTTCACCTAACTTGCAGTGTGTCACTGGAAATCATAGTGTGTGAATTAGCTTCTTGTAATAGATTATAATAAGTATTGATCTAATGTCTCATTTCAGAACCCCGACAAACAATCTGTACTTTGGTATCTGAACTTCAATTAAAAATAATTTTTTAAATCCTATTAAAAACTAATGAGAACAGTACCTAGGATAGAAGAGCCAACTTAACTGAAATGCATTTGCATCTCTTTCAGAGGAGATGTTTGGCAGCCATTCTGCTCTGTGGTGGTCTCCAAATGGCGATTTTGTGGCATATGCAGCATTTAATGATACAGAAGTTCCGGTTATAGAGTATTCTTTTTATTCTGAGGACACCTTGCAGTATCCAAAGACCGTTAGACTCCCGTATCCCAAGGTCTGTGTTATTTATTAAACATGGTTGTTCTACAGTTTCATTAAGAGAGTTGTCTCATTTAATCAGTTTCTGCTAATGAAAATATTGTCTGTCGTTCCTCAACAGCTTGCTGTGATTACTCTTTCTGAAGTCAACAGCATCTGGCAATGTTAAAGTATTTTATTATCTCCAGGGTAAAGCAAAAGCTCATAGGGAATTGAAGTTGGTACAAAGCATTTGGCAGATGTACCTTATGTTAGGGCTGTACGTGGTAGCTACCTCGTAAGCACTACATTAAAAATAGTGGGGTACATGCTGCAGTCACAGCTTTGATTGTGGTATAGGCAGCTGTTACATGATCCCTTAATGTAAGGTATCAGTTTCCTTGTAAAAGCACTTTTCTGTCTGTTAATAATGGATTTGATTCACTGTTAGATACTCTGTGTATGGCATGTGGGATGAGATGTAGCCAAATACTGCTTTGGGTACAGCAAGCCCTATGGAGTTACGAATGTTTCTAAATGTAGTAGTCTTTCTTATCTAGAAATACATAACTAACACTTTCATATAAAAAAATACAAAGGCTAATTTATGTATCAATCTTAAGAACTGTATTTAGGAACTTGTCTTTTCGTATGTTTGCAGTTGGCTGGTTATACCTAACTGTCTATAGTAATGTCTTCATCTATAGTTTCAGATGCTTATTTCACCAAGAATATTCTCTCTTCAAAAGTACAATGAAAAAAATTATTTTTAGGCAGGAGCTACAAATCCAACTGTGCAATTCTTTATTGTGGATACCAGATCACTACCTGCTTTCCGCTCTGCTGAAATTTCTCCACCTGCAGAAATAAAATCGGGGTAAGACATTTTAGTTAAATGTTTGCTTATTTCTTTTGGTGGGAGAGGAGGAGCTTTTATGTATGGCCACCCTATATTCAGTGTATATGGCAGTTTTTCCCAGTCATGCGGCTCTGGTAGCAACAAGATCTACCAGAGAAAATCTGCACAGAGATTATCCTCCTAGTGATTATATATAGATGGCATATTCCATGTATGTTATATTCAGAATGTGACAAGTTCTTGGCTCATCACATTCAGTGGAGTCTAACTATGGTGAAGTCATTTCACAGTACAACTTTAATATGAGCAAGTTTTGGTATAATCAAATTATAATATATGTATTCCAATTCACTGGGGGGGGGGGGGGAACAAACCAAACAAAACCTTAGTGGTAAGTGAAGGTTTGATTTCATTGGAAGCTGACTCCTTGCTGAGGCAAGGTGTCATGGTTGTCTTCAGATTTATACTTTAAATGTTTGTTTTCTTTGGAAACATGGTGAAAATCAGCACCTCTCACAGTAAATGGAAAATTGTATTTCTCAAAATGCCACTGGAAATGCACAACATTATATAAATGTATTTTGTAAAGAGCAGCTAAATTGATTTAAAATGCATGCATGCAAAATTTGGTATCCCAGATCTCAAGTTTTGTTTGTTTTTTTTTAACAGTATTGTGGAAATTTTTTAGAGGCTTGCACTTAACAAACATGATGGGTGTGGAAGCACAGGTTATACTGGTAAACTTCAGAAAAAACAAGAGACGTCTGTTAGCTAGTGCAGTAAATCAGCATTTTGTACATGGTGTCCAAAAAGCTGTAACTGGAATATCAGTGCTATTCTGTTTCAGTCCTCACTGCAGTGTAACTAACATCTTTGTGTTAAGAGAGATACACAAGTTTTTATTAATATGTTGTTCTTTACCCTTCCTCTAAAGTAGCACTGCTATAGCTAGGTGTTATATAGCTGCTGTGTGCTGTTTTTCTCCAGAATCTCAGTGCTTTAGAATTATAAGCCCTTTATGCTTTGGTCAGTTCTGGTTAAGATCTCTACTGTCTTAGAGTTATGTTTTACCTTTTGTTAACACTTAATGAATGCTGAAGAACGCCGCTGTGTGACCTTGGAAGAATAACAGTCATCTACCTTCCAGCCTTGTAACCATCTGGATAACACAGGCCTGAGTTATATGGACTTAATCCATTTTTAAATTAATGTAACGCTCTGTAAATCAGGTTTAATAAAAAGATAAATCAAATCTTGAATGGTGAGGGTCAAAACTTACTCTTTCTTCCAACAGCTGATCCAAATAATGGTTAAGCTTCAACATGTGTGTCCTGCAAATGTTCAGGTGGCTAGAACAACTCTTGGGGAATTTTGCAATAGCAAAAGTACCTAAGTAGGAAAAGGCAAGTGATGTGCAGTGTTGCTGTTGGGTAGTTTTGCTCCTGGAAGCACAAAGTAATGAATATTTGCGCTGTGTGACAGGAAAGGTTAATTTTTATGGTGGAAAATTCTATTTTTACTTCCTTGGAGTTAAATTCTGAGTAAAACTAAGTTTGAATTGGTGGCATATCTCACCCCACTCACCTGGGTGGGGATTTCGAGGGGCAGTGCTCCTGAAAATGGTTGCCTGTTGCAGCACTATCCAGAGCTGCTTGTATGTGCAGCAGTTGTACCCCCACATTTGAAGCGGGCACAGTGCACTTCTGTTTCAGAGAGAAAGATTTATAATTTGTCAAGGAAAGCTGCTACAATCTGGCATGGCAGTACTTTGTCACATAAGGTGGGAGATGAAACCTAACACTTTTTGCATAAATGACCAGCATGAAATCCACACAGCATTGAAACACCACGTGTACCATCATGCATACAGGAGGCTCCTGTTGGCTACCAGGAGGATGAAGACAATAGATGTTTCTTGTCTGATATGATCTGTCCTAAAATAAATTGTCTTCAGAGTAGAGAGCTCCAGACAGTAGTTGCAAGAGTATCCTTTCTTAGCACTAAATGAGGAAGGGCAATGCTAAACTTCTGTACTCTATACTTAAGTTAATTGCAGCTTAGTTAACATTTCATGGGTTATTGAAAACTGAAGGTGCATTCCTAGTCTCTATAAAAACCATAGAATATTTGTTATGTAATAATAATACCATAATAAGTAATAGTTTTGTTTTTTCCTTGTACTGTTCATCTTGTCTGATGAATGATTTATAAGTCTCCAGAACTGTTAACGTCTCTCACTTTGAATGAACAAAAACTGTGGGGTTAATTCACCTTTTACAAAACAAGGACAACCACTATTATAGGTACAGTAAGAATGGCTGGTTTTTGGGTTTTTTTGGTTTTTTTTTTATTTCCCCCCCAAACAACCTCCTGCAGAATGCTTTTATAATATTTACTGGAGTTTGAAGCCAGTGACAGTAGCAATTAAATGATCTACCAACTTCCCAGTCAAATGTGAATATGAAAAGAGACCATTTTTAAACATGATTTATAAACTGCCATCTAGAAATAAACCTGAAAGTGATCGATAACCAGTTGGCATATATTTTTAATCCATCCACACTAATTTTCTTTTTTTTTTTCTTCCCCTTCCCGAATGATCACAAAGATATTCACTCTCCTCACAAAACTTCCTACACATTTTTGTTCACTAACTTTGGGGAAAAAGGGAACATGAACTTGGAACTAAGTCAAATGTGCAAATTCCAGTTAAAAATGTATAGTTGCCTTGGAGGGGAGGTTTGTTTTATTTTAGTTCATAAGGCTTCTAGGAGATAGGAGAAATCTAAAATAAGAAAAGACGAGTACATCTAACAGATCGTAATGGTAAACAAAACCACTAAATTTTATGTGGTGCCTTTCAAAATTAATATACACAAATATTCATGAAAATGATATTTTTTTCAGATACTCCAGTTCTTCATGTGAACTAGTTGGTGTTCTGAAGATGAAAGTGAAATACTCAAATAGTAATACCCATTCTTGGTACAATCTCTCCCTCAATTCTAACTAATGGAAATAAATACTAAATTCAACGCACATATGTATCACTCAGAAAGTGCTTACAAGCAACCACCTTCATGCAGCTAAGGATAAAGTTCAAAAATCTAAGGCCCATACAACTTAATATTCAGAAGAATTTCCTCTAGATGCACATAGTGTAAGATTAATGAACAGTCTGGAGTAGTTATTATTTTATGCATTAGAGGATAGTAATATGGCTGTTAGAATTTAATTGCAGTATTTCTGGAAGTGGGTATGTACAAACTACCTAATTCTTTTTTGTATGAATAAAAACAACTAAAGCATCTACTAGCAGAAAAAACAATTGGCAAAAAAATTGCACAATTAGGTTTGTATCATTGTTTATTGTTGAAGAGTAGATTGAAATGAAAATAGCCAGATGAGTCTCATTCAGTGATTGCTGAATGTACAGTATTCTATTACAGAGAAAATGTTAAATATCTAATGGTATTGCTTTTTTCAGGGATCATTATTTGAGTGTTGTAACATGGGTGACAGATGAAAGGATCTGTCTGCAATGGCTGAGAAGAATTCAGAATTTTTCAGTCCTCACAGTCTGTGACTTTGAAAATGCTACTGGAAATTGGTTGTGTCCACAGGTAAGAATAATGAGATGGGAGAGTTGCAGTGCTTGATAAATGAGACTATAAAGGGGTAGAGTATCTCTGTATGTTTATCTTTGCCTGATGTAAAATAAACATAATTGTTGTGGGATTGTTTGTTTTTTCTTTCTTAGGAAAAACAACGTACGGAAGAAAGTACAACTGGCTGGATTGGCAGAGTGAGTGTTCAATTTCTAAAATTGCCACATGCTAAATAACACTGATAATTAAGAAAATTTCATATGCTTCTTGCCAGCTGCAGTGCCTCTTGTGTGCAGGTCTGATCCATTCACTTGTTGCATTATACATATATAGGAAAAAAATGACCTCAACAGGAGCCACTATGCCACCTTGCTCCCCGTTTTAAGCTTTTGTGGGTATGAGGTTCTGAACTCTCAGGCTGGGCTGACAGTGCAGCGTGGGCTGGAGCTGTAACTGCATCCTCTGTGACCCATGCATCAAGTTCAGCTTGCCGAAAGCAGAGGGCTCCTTCCAGACTCCTTTTTAATTCTGACATACCACTTTGGTAGCAGTAGGTAGGGGAATGCAGGAGCCAGGATTCAGAATTCCCTTTGTTCTGGAGGAGTTGTCAGCTATGCTGGTTTGGCTGCTCTCCATTCCTCATGACACCTCCAGAATTATCTAGGGGATAAAATGTATTAAGAAGTCTATCGTATAACCTTTGAATTGTATTGGAGGAAAGGCATAGAGGACAAAAGTAATTTTTTAGTGTTTCAGGTTGCAGCAAACCATTCCAGGTCCTCCCTGTAGGTGTTTTTTATTTATTTATTTTCCTCCCACCCAGAATATCCATTGGAGAGAACCAGGACAAGATGCATGTAACTGACCAGATTAAAATTTCCATACACTTCTGCCAAACCAGTCACTACTGTCTGGATGATGCTTTCCAAGCTGCCTCTCAGTCCTTTTGTACATGGTAGAGAGTAGGCACCTAATGAACTACACAGAAGATCTGGGGGAAGTGAAGCAGAGATGCAAAAGTTCAGACTTGGAGGGAGAAATGAGTTTCAGAGTTTTTGATGAGAACACAGAGTACACTTTCCACTCCCGCATTTTCCACACACTGATTATGCTTTAGTCACTAATTCACTTTTGAAGTCAAAAATGAAAGTTTAAAGAAATGCAAAGAGGGAGGCAACAGCAGGGATGAAATCATCCGCAGTATGAAGATGAGAGATCAACCCACCTGCTGTCAAATTTGATATGGAAAGGAAGGCCTTAACGCTGACACATTTTGCTTCTCTGCAGCAAAGGCTTCACAATTAGACAATGTGATGATCAAGCTGCAGACTTTGTAAACAGTTGTGCAAAATGAGAGGGCAAAATGCAAGTCTGTGCCATTAAACTAGGTTGTTGGTTTTTTCTTTCTTTTAAAGAGACAACCCACATCTTAGGAGCTGTTGGAAGAAAAAGATAATCTCACTGCATGATTCTTGGATTTGAGAAGGGAGTGGAAAGTAGGGAGGATTGAAGAGGGGATAGGAAAGGTATAGTTATTCCTTTCTTTTATTCTTATCTACTTAGGGATGATAAAATGACACTTAACTGATAAGGGATATTTATATATGAGAGATGTATATAAACACATAAGTATGTATATACAATTCATATAAGTGTATACAAACATGTAAATGATACATGTGTGTAAAGTATAAACATCTCTCTTTTTATGTATCTGTAGTGGTTTTTTTTCTTTTTTTCAAAAATAGAGAGGAAATTATACTTAATCTAAGAATGCTTATAACAGCCTGTGTTACTGCATAAGGCTTCCAGGTCATGAGCTAAATTAGAGCTTGCCAGTTGAGTTGAAGGAAAGTCACACTTTGAAAAAACAAGACTGCAATGAGGGAGAAGTTAGCAAAATATTTATCAGGTTATTTTTTGCAAATATATTGCCAGGGAAGAGGAGGGATTATCTGGAGTGCATGGGTTAGGGAGACTCAAGTTCTGTAATCGTTTAGTGAGTGACCAGAGGCGAGTCAGTTCATCTTTCTGTTTCACTTGCCGTTTCAAAATGGGTGTAACAGCTTAGAGGTAACTGCGTGGTGTCAAGTGGCTATTTAACATTTAGGTGTTTTGGATATTTATCACAGAAATAATTTGTATTTCATTCGGCTCAATTCTGTTTTTCTCTCTAGCACGTGGAGCACATCCAAAAGACAGTCCGTAGAAGGAATCCATTCATTTCCATCACTCCCAGTTGATAAATGGGGAGTTCCTTCATGAAAATACCATTCCAATTTGGATTCTCTGGCATTCTGTAATCGTCTACTTCCTAGCAAAATATCCTCTTGGAAAGCAGCTTGTTTTCTTTGAATAAAGTGGGACATTTTTCAATGCCAAGCTAAAAAAAAAAAAAATTGAGTGCAAGGAATTTCTTCCTAAATGCATGTTTTAAAATGAGAAATTTAAGGAAAACATGTATTTGCAATGTTTATATTGCTGTAGGTTACAGCTGCATATTGGCATTGAACAGAATAAAACAGTGACTTTAAAAGTTGTTTCCTAAAATTGTAGGAAACTAGGAACAGCCATAGAACTTCATATTCAAGGGAGGTAAGAAGGGGACATCAGTCATTACCAGGGCTAATACTCAGGGAATTCTGTTGCTTAAGAAGCAAGAAAATATTTTAAGTGTGTTTACTTTTAGGCTAATGGCTATGGATTCTACCTACTAAGTCAGTAGGCAGAAAGTTTTGCAGTATGTTCAGTGATACATTGTTTTAAATTTTGTTTTTGGTATCTAAACAGAAGTTTCAATACTTACCATTTTGGTTTTGGAGTTTTGTTGTTTGCTTTAATAGACATCTCTCTTCTCTCTTGTGTTCAAGTTTCAGCCATCTGTCCCTCACTTTGCACCCGACAATGCTACCTACTACAAAGTCTTCAGCAATAAAGAAGGTTACAAGCACATCCATTACATAAATGGCTCACAGGTAAATAATAAGGTGTAGAACAGTCACTGCTGACTTGTGTTTCTCCTCATGATCAAGGAAATTCACATTGTACTGTTTTGCCTTGCCTTTCCCCACCCCCCAGGTTCCAGTATCTATTACTGCAGGAAAATGGGAAGTAATCAGCATAGAAGCTGTAACCAACAACTTTTTGTAAGTATTGTAGTTAAGCTGTTGATTCTGACCAGGAGAGCTTGTTAACAAGGGTCTAAGCAATCAGGGAGGGACAATAGGGGAGAAGGTGTCATTTGACTCATTAAAAATCTGATGTAAACTTGTAAAATAATCTTTTAAATATTGTAAAGTACTGTAAGCATTTTAACAAAGCCAGTATGTTTTGCTTTTATAGATACTACATTAGTAATGAAAACGGTGGAATGCCAGGAGGAAGAAATCTTTATAAGTAAGAAATTTTTTTCTGCAGTATAAGTAAAATATTTATTAATGAAAAAAGAAATTTTAAGAAAATACAAAGATTAGGATGTTTATAGTCCAATATGGGATCCTGTATAGGATACTTAATTAAAATCTGTGGAGGAATATAAACTGTAAAAAAACCTAACATATTTTTCTCTTAGTTAATAAAGGGAAAATGTGAAAAGTAACAATGAATCCTCAAGCAACAAATCCCTGAAGAAAACCTCTCATGCTTTTTTTTTTTTTTTGCTATGATTATAATTCTAGTATTAATTGAACTCAAAAGTTTGAAGTCTACTTTCTCTACTTTTTAAATCAATAAGGACTTTACTCCTGAATTTTATCGTCATCTTTCAGTCACCTTATTTACACTTGTTTAGCATAGTTTAAAAAAAAATCTTTCATCTCTGAAATGAAGCGCATTTACTCTGCAGAGTGCTCTTGGAAAGCAGTCCAAATTCTACTAAATGTGTTAGCTGTGATCTGAATCAAGAAAGATGCCAGTATTATTCTGTGTCCTTCAGCAAAGACGCACAATATTATCAGTTAGATTGTCGTGGTGAGTATATTTGGAATTAACTGACATAAACATGACTCACTGATTAGTTGGGTGGGGAAGTTCACTTTGTCAAGATCTTGATATGTACTGCATAACAATGATACGTATTGATACCGTTCGATAAATGCATTGATGATGGAAAAACATAGTCCCTCCTAGGCTCAAAAGCACCTTGACAAAAATTACAAGGATAAAATTTGATAGTTCTATCTATCGGTGAACCTGAAAGAGGTGTGAAACACTCCTGTCTGCTGTGTGCCTCCTCAAGAGCTGCACGGGGAGCTCTGTCTGTAGAAGGAATTTGGAGGCTCTGGGAGCAAGGTGAGCAATAGGGTGGGTAGAGAAGTGCTCTGTGCGTGGAAACAAAATTCAGATAGGTAGTGCTGTTCACAAAAATCCAGTTAACATAATCATAAGTTACGCAGTGGGACTGTAGTCTGTCTCTGACCTCTAAGTCTTTGTGCTACATAGTACAAGGGATAAATTAATCAGAGGGTGGGGAAAAAAGAAAATCTCAAAAATTCCCCTTAAATTGAAATATATGTTGTTGTTTAAAATGCCAAGATTTTCCTTTTTCTGTGGGTTAGAAGGACAGACAGACAGCAGAAAGTAAATTGTTCTATCAGGTTGTGAAAATGGTTGTTTGAAGAAGGCTGCTGTGGTCTCCATGACAAGGCTTACTGCTTTCCCAACCGTGGTCCACAACTGATGGGTAGAATTTGCTAAAGAGTGGAAGTTTAATTCTTCTGTACCTCACAATGATGTGGTTCGCCTGCGAGACAGTCTGAATATTTTACGGGATCCTGTGGCTTGAGTTTGTGCCCTACTAACTTAATATCCAGTCTGTGCAAACTGGAGGGAAACAAGTTTTGAGCTTTTATGATTCACCCACTTCCAATTACTCTGCGGGGGCTGTGTTTTCAGACAGCATGCAAACATGAACGTTTTGTCCTCTGTTAACAGGTCCTGGCCTGCCCGTATCTACTCTGCACAGAAGCAGGGATGATCAAGGTATGAGGTTTTCTTAACATATAATTTGTGTTGAGCCAGAAAATTGCACTGTAAATTTATTTTAATTTTGTTCTCATTACTTAGTATAATAATTAAAATGTCAGTTTTAAAGAGTAAATTTAATTTCCAATAATTATATAGTATAGTTAACCAGAAGAATAAATTATGTAGTTTGGCATACATTTATTCATAGTTTATTTAATATTATTTTACATTGTGCTAGGAGACAGTGAGTAATGTATGACTTATTTGCTGGATAATTGTTCAGTTTTTCTGAAATTGCATTCAGATTAAAAATATGGAAACCGTCTTTCTGGTTACTAAATTACTAAAGGAAAACTATATTGTAAACATTGACTCTGAGAGGAAAAACAAAAACTGTATTAAACTAAGACAGCAATGTAGGTTGCCATCATCTCAGATTGAATTTTTTAAATGGTTCATAATTAAAGAGCAGTGCATTTGAAAATAACGTATTTAGTCTTTGACTTTTACTAACTCTCTTATTTAGTCCTCAGATATTTGGAAAATAACACTGAACTGGAGAATTCATTGAAAGATATTCAGATGCCTTCAAAAAAAATTGGCTCAATTAGTGTAGGTGGATACAGTAAGTTCAAAAACGTGTTTTATCTTTCTCTCCCCCTTTCACCAAGTGCTTCAAGGTCTTCTGCTGAACAGCATGACAAAAAAAGATGGGTGTAGTGAGGATTATTGCAGTTATTCAGCACTTAGAGGCAAGACAAGATTTTTTTTTTTTTTCCCTGGAAATATTTATGCATTCTGTTTTTGTTTTGGTTTGTTTTGGGTTTTTTTATGAAATCCCAAAATACTCTTATCTAAAATATGCTTTTTCCATAGTGTGATAACTTAATGTTTTCAGGATGAAGTGGATTAACTCCTTTTTTCCTTGAGAATTACCTGAAAAAACAGAAATCCTTAATACCACATGGAATAAATAAATAAATGTGAGGAATGGGGAGTGGCGCACAAAGCTTATAAGCATTGTTGAATTTAAATTAAATTATAAATTCAAGTAGGTCTCAGTTTACATGTACAAGTCCTTTCGGTTTGTGTTAGCAGGTTGGGACAGTGCAGAAGTTACTATCAAAAAGTTAACACAGAATCTAAATGGAAAAGCTTGCAAAGTAATTTAGACTACATTTCAACAAGATCAGCTTTGACTTTGTGTAGGGGAATATTTGGATTGAATAGTCACGTTCTTAAAAGCACATTCACACTCCAAGACAACAGAAACCTCTGAATACAGACTAGAACAAAATGGTAGAAAATGAACTGCTAATGCTTTGCTAGTGGTGCTTGCCTGAACTTTCACATCTGGGTACAGAAGCCTTCTTGGCATACTGCTGGGCTGAGGAATGTCAGACAGACCTGCAGCGGGAGGCCTGGTGCCTGTCTCAACTGTTCTTGCTTCAGCCTTTGCTAATAGCTTTTCTTTTCATGAAAAACTTCCTCTTGATAAAATGAACTAATATTCTTACTGGAATTATATTTTACAGACTGTATTGATTTCAGTCAGTCGTTATTAACTGTCCTTTTTGATGCCTCCCTCCTTCCACTGATACCTTATTTAATAATAACTCGCTTTATCTTTGTGTTTTCTGTCTTTATTTCTGTCACATTTTTATTAGGGCTAAAGATGAAATCTTCCAGGCAAGATGGCGGTTTAAAGATGTTCTTCGTGCTATCAGTTGTGTCTTCATCTTTTTATTCCTCTTTGTTCTTACTACTTCATCTCTTCAGGGTAAAAGCTTTTGGGTAAGGGGAATCTATTTTTAAAGCAGAAATCTGCTCCCATGATGATAAGAGTGCACAGATGATGCAAAAAATTAAAATTAGTATTTTCATGTGTTCAATTTAGATTGTTAATTTTGCAGTGTTTTAATGTCTTGCATATTCATACCTGGACAAATTTCTGTAAGACTTGCATCTGGCTATTACCACAGCATAGTCCATCAGCATTGCTTCATAATTCTTTTGCAGCATCATTTCTTCTAAAATTCAGAGTGAACATTTGAGCCAATTGGTTTGCAAAACTTACATGTTGTGCATTTAAAATGTTCAGCCAGCTTTCAGCCAGCTTGGGTGAAAAGAGTAACATGGATGGAACCAGAATCAATGTTGCTGAGAAATAATAGATATTTGGATATGTTTCTGGGATGCTTGACAAGCTGTCATGCAAAGCCTATCCAGCAGGTTCAAAATATTTAAAATTTCTTTTTAATGCTGGGAGAGAAATTTGAGTGGAGAAACTCTTTTGAGCTAGTGTCAGATTTACCTTTGTAGAGACTTACCAAGTTTTACATGTTACCGTATAATGTAGAATAATGTTACGACACAGCATGTTGAGTCCCCAGATTTTATTAATCTTATTGGAGGCGTTCCACTTCCAGACTTTCTGCTGACTTAGCTGTAAAACATTTAAAAAAATTAGTGGATTAGCTAGGAACTTTTATCTGCATATATTAGGACAGTTCAGATTAAACTACTTTTTAATTTTTAGAGGATGACTCAAATGTGCTCTTGTATGAATTGCAATGCACATCAAATTATTTCACTGGAGAACTGACCTAAGTCAAACTCTGTTCACTTTTAGACCTGTGGTATCAAATGATATTGCCTCCCCATTTCGATTCATCAAAGAAGTACCCTCTGCTCCTTGATGTGTAAGTCTTCAAGTTACATGGCAATGTTGTGTTAATAATCCCTTTCATGTATTTCAAATGCTCTTACTAAGATGGGAAACACAAAACTGGCATGTTTTCTAATTACTTCTTGAAGTAGTTTTAAGAGGAAATTAAAAAAAATGAGGTGTATCCCAATTTGTGATAGATTCCTGTACCATAAGATGATGTAATGCTTAACAAGCACATATTTTGCTGGTGGCAGTGAGGCAGATGCATTCTGTACCTGACTTAAAAGCCAGGATGTTAGTGTTAGCTTACCTCCTTCTTTGCTCTTAGAGATCATTAGGAATAATATTCAATGAAATTACATTCCAGAATGAAGCTTGAATAAGGTGCATATTGTAAAGCTGAAGTAGTAAGTGTGATGTTGCATGTTCTCTGTGATATTTGACTGTCAACTGGTGTTGGCAAACTGCATTCTTTGGTCAAGATTGCATTTGCTGGTTTTTTTTAATAAATTCAAGACCTTGAGCACATGTTGTTTGGCTCGTTCTTCCTCAGGCCTTTTGTTGGTGCTGGTATGTTTTCTTCTAACTGGAAGTTACTGAAGTTTAGCTATTTATTAAAATAGAAATGGTAACCTTTTCCTCTTTTCATGACAAGCTGACTCCACAAGGAAACTAGCTATTAATTGTTAGATACATCTTTATATGATGTAATTTGGTAGAACTGTAGTACTTTTTGTCAGCAGTGTAATACTTTTTGATATGCAAAGTGCTCTTTGCTTCTTAAGACTTATTTTGGGTTTGATTGTATTTTTATTTACTTACTTGGGCCTTTGTCAGGATCACCTCTGCTTCATGATGATCTTGGTATCAGAAATTCCTTTGGAAGTGTCAGGATCCATAGCATATAGAAACAAAGCTCGATACAGAGAACTCCTAGTAGGTTTTGCTTGGCTTTTAAAGGTGGGAAAAATGGGTTATAGAGCCATAAGAGCCACTCTTCCATTTCTTACTCTGTTGAGCAGTGGCTAGAGAAGTGCACTACAAAGAGAATTTTACCATCTAGGCACTCAGTGTGATTTCATAGTGTCCAAGTGCTTACAAATATTTTAAAACTAAAAGTTATAATTCTAGTTTTTCTTCCTTTTTCTCAGCCTGCATTAAGTAGTTCAGACTGCAGGGAATACTGATGAGCTACTAAAAGTGCAGAAAAATATCTTTTTAATTTTCCCAAATGAAGGTTATTTGTTGACTTCTGACTTTAACCAAATAAATCATGGTTAAATCGAACAGAAGTAGTTAAAGGGCATTGCTTTGAAACTCAGATAACTAGATATGCCAACACAAAAAAGAATTTGATTTGGATTTCTGATAAGCTGCTTAAAGTCTAAATAATGAAAGTTTCTAATTAGAGCAGAAAGCGATAAAACAAAAAAAAATACAGTCTGCTTTCTTGATTTTAACAGCTGACATTTTAAAAAAGCATATTGCATTTAGTGTCCAGGCAAAGCAGCAGTTTGGAGTCAGTGTTGCTTTTCTTGTTTGTTCAGTTTAATTTAAAAATGTACCCTTCTTTAGTGGCTGTCAGCAATAATTGTATTTCAAATGCTTGATGTGAGAATATGTGAAGAGTAAATGCCTGAATTTTGTGGCATTTTTCACGCAGGTATGCAGGACCCTGCAGTCAGAAAGTAGATTACACCTTCCGGATCAGCTGGGCTACGTACCTTGCAAGCACCGAGCAGATCATTGTAGCCAGCTTCGATGGCAGAGGAAGTGGATACCAAGGGGATGAAATTATGCATGCAATAAACCGAAGGCTGGGAACATATGAAGTGGAAGATCAGATAGAAGCAGCCAGGTGAGCTACAAGTAAATGGTCAACAACTGCTCCTTCTTTTCTCTGCTTATTATATAAGGGGAAAAAAAGGTGAAGGTTTTGAATGGTCATCTTGAAATTACTGGCAAAACATAAAAAAATCCTACATTAATTTTATGCTTAAAAAGAGAGAAGAGTTAATGCTGTAATAACAAATTTACCATATCCCTGGTTTTAGAGTAATGATAGCTGTCACATCAGTAGAAGAGCCTGCTACCAAGGAACTTGGAGCTGGAAGTTTTACTTCAAGCTTTTTGCAAGTTTCTGTTGTGGCAGAGTTATTTGCATGAACTACTCAGCCTTTACATCATAGTTCATCTTTGTCACTTGGTTTATGCTTGTAGAACCTCACTAAACCAAACGATGTCAGTATAGATCTCTCAGAATAACAAAGGAGTGATCTCACGGGGTTTGCTTTTGGGGATTTTAACACATTGAGGAGTTTAAACAAATGGCATTTCAGAGTCTTTTTTTTAAACCTGGCTTTACAGGTGTCGGTCTGTCCCTTACTGCTGCAATTTGTGTTGCTTCTCTTATAAAAACCAACCAAACAAACACAAACTAAAAAGGACCAAAAAAATAAGGCGAGGCAGGTGGTGAAATCTAACCTAATACAATACAAATGCCAATGAACATGGTTTGAGGGCTTTTACGGAGTGTCCAGGTTTTGTTTTTTCACATGCACAGATGTTTTTCTGAATTTCTGGAAGAGCTACATGCCTGAAGTATTGTATGTTTTCATATGCAGCTACTGTGATGAAGTGGGAAATACGTATTTGTACAGTAGAAAGAGGCAGACTTAATAGAAAATAACAATGGCAGATACCCACAATACATTAAGCATTTAATTATTCTGTTTGCTTCTAGAAAATTTTCTGAAATGAGCTTTGTTGATAAGGACCGGATAGCTATTTGGGGTTGGGTAAGTACTCAAATACTGCTGGCTTATTATTTAATTGTAACAACTATTTGTTGTGTTGCCATGTGTGTGAGGTGCTGCTGGAGTACTTTGCGTGAGGCCCCTCTGGGGTAATGGCACAGTGCAGTAACTGAACTGACGAAGTACATTTTACAAGTGCCTGTACACGTTGTCCCTTTGCAAGCATTCAGGAGCCTTTGAAACAGAAATCAGGACTACTATGGGGATTAAAAACTTTTTAAAGGGATACTGCCAAGTTCCTATGTACCAGATGAACTACTATTAAAAAAAAAAAATCCAAGTGTATACTCAGTAGTGTGTCTCCATATATTAGTTGGATAACTAATTTTTTTTTTAAAGATGTAAAATTACATGTGAACCAGCTGTGTGGCATGGTTGTCATGTTTTTACTAGCAGCCTGAAAATATCTAAATCTGCTATATTGTTGTGCTTGGCTATATTTTATTTCAGCAATACTTTCAAAGAGAGGCCAAATTTCTCTGACTTTGATGTATATTTAAAACTGTCACAGTAGAGGCTAGTGTATAATAGCATATACATACCCCCTCAGCTGCAAGGCTAAGTGCATATGTAGTGTTAGCAATACCTATTTGATTCAAACTCTGAACATTTCTCTGTCCCAGGCTGCTGTTTCACTGCTTTTTCTGGTGTCACAGGGAGTGTCCTTGCATGCTCTGTTCAGGCATACAATGCTTAAGTATATGCAGGATTGCATGCAGGATCTTGAATTATTTGGTTGCTGCTGGTGACAGGCACTAGTGAATAAATTGCTTGATGGCAAGATGATAATGATGGTACCTTCCGTAGCTTTTCTTGTGGGCGTAAACTTATCTCTGTTGTATGAACTCAAGCGTAGTAGTGTTAACTTTAGTGGGAGGGATGCATTCCCATCTTACTCCTTAGGAGCCTCGGAATACATAGTTGAAGGGCAGTCCTCTTTGGAGCTAGGTTGGGGTAATGCATCCTGGATACTGAACCTGTAGGCAAACAGATTTTCTTTATCTCTTGAGTTTTCAGATTGTGAGCACCTCATTGTCAGCCTGTCACTACGTACATTAATTTTGTTTTGCAGTAATCTAGCTTGCCAGGTTAGGCAACATATTTGTACGTGGGTTTAATTACTAAGTACTTTGAGAGGACCTAAGCATTGAAGTTGGAGCAAAGATTTAAGGGCTTTGAACTAAGATACAGTTCCATTTGCCTGTAATCTGATTTCAAGACAGGAATGAGATCCAAAAATTGCTCTTTTTGAATGTAGGTGGGCATATTTTCCTAAATAACCCCTTTAGACTATACTGAGGGCAGTCATTAGGGCAGTCAGTGACATTGTTTAGGTATCTTGCTGCCTGGATGTTCAAGTATGTCAGATATTTACTCATCCATGTATCAGGCTGGACTGTGTGTGAATTTTCTGTGCATAGCAAGAGTGTGTTGCTGCACAGTTCCTCCCACAGACTCAGCAGAAGATCCTCCACTCCCCAGTCACAGTCTTGCTCTTGACGCTTCGGAGGAGGGTTAGCAAGTGAGCTGCCGTAGGCCTGCTCTGAGGGAGTTGTAAATTTTTGCATGCCCTGGTGCAGCTACTCATCAGGCATGTTGTGGGCCTGAGCTCTGCTTCCACCCACTCCCCCAGCACGGAGAGGGACACAGCAGTTCAGCAGTGTCTTGTTTCCTGTCTTTCGCTGGTGCCTGCGGTGCTACCAAACACTCATCCGTAGCTGAGTCACAGTTCAGCGACGTTTGTGCCCCTTTTCCCCAGCGAGTTCTCATTCATCAGCGCCACAGCTGCCATGCGCTGTTTGATGCCTGTTTCCCCCACTGAGCAGGCTGGGTGACATCTGACCCAAACTCAGAATGGAGTTCATTAATATGAAAAACGCTGAGCCTATAAATGTCTGATGAACTGTTCAGCAGATGGGCCCCATCCTTTTCTTTCCGACTAAAATAACAGCAATGTTTTCTTCTCAGTCTTACGGGGGATACGTGACCTCCATGGTGCTTGGCTCTGGAAGCGGCGTGTTCAAGTGTGGAATAGCAGTTGCACCCGTGTCACGCTGGCAATATTATGGTATGTGATGACTTCCTCATTACAAGTATTCCCATATGTCTTGCAGTGCCCATGCTGCAAAGTGTTGATTCATAGTGCAGAACTTTGATTGTCTATGAGATGCCATGTAAATGCCACTTGGCCTGTTTTTATGAACTCATAGGTATTGCATTTCAGAAAAATTTAAATCTTGTTTCCCATTTTAAAAAGTCAGATCTACAATTCCAGGTAATCTCTTTAACATTTAATGAAGGCTAAATTATTGTAATATTTGTAGTATTAATGCCATATGTTCCGAGACCAGTATTGTGTCAGAAATCCATCACTATTAGATTTTGCTTCTTCAAAATGCTACTTCACTTTTAATAACAAACTGAGGCTTAAAATCAGACTTGCATTGTAATTTACTCTGTCAAAGTAACAGACTAGGATTTGAATAGCCTTCGGGTTTTTTTTCCTTTTAGAGAGTAAAATTTGGATTTTATAAATCTAATTAATCTTAAGAATAGCTTGATGTGAGGAAAACCTGAACAAGTGGACAAGTCTGTATGTGCTTCGAGCTTATAGTGTGTAAGGTGTTAGTCGCACAAGACTATAAATACAGTTACAGGGGCTCTCCTCCCAAATTAAAAAAGTTATATATAGTTAAAAATGTAATTATGTGCTGATATAATGTGACCACATTTTGACATTTTTTTTCTGGTTTAAAGTTCTCCAAAAACATTCAAAGGAAAGCTTTTCCTGGCAAACCTCTTCTGAGTAAGGCATAATTTATCATTCTGCATCAAGCACAGAGGCTGTGTAATAGCCTATTATGTGCTCTGGCTAATTCAACAGATCAAATCATACTGCCAGGTATTAGCAGTACAGTAGTCTGTAGAGATGTTTTTGTAATGTTTTGGACATGAATATGACAGTATGGCAGGAAATATTTTTCAGTGAAGACCAGGATCACTAAAATTCTACTTTTAGTTAATTAGATAAAGGAAAGGGTTATGGATGCATGTGTATTCAACAGCAAAAAAAAAAAAAAAAAAAAAAAACCAATCAAAACCAAACCCACCACACCAAAAAACACCACCACAAAACAAAACAGTGTGACAACACTGATGAGAAGTCAAATGGACGGTTGAATATGGCAACAGAGTTCTGATTTGTATGGCTTAAAGCAGCAAATCTGCAAAAAAAGTATTATGATATAATGCTGAAAAATCTGTGGAAAATCAGAGATACTTAATTTTGACTATATATAATACTGAGCCAAGCTGAGTCCTAATTTACTGCTGTATTTTCATTTTACAGATTTTTAGCAGTAAACATTTAGATAAAATATCTTAAGATTTTTTTCAAATGGTAGTAATTTACTGCAAGATTTTCAGTAATTTTTTTAGGATTACTGAAAGAATAACAATAAGGTAACATTGACACAAAGTACTTTATTAATATTCAGCATTCAGGTGTCCATGGCAACAAGAAGATTAAATATTCTGAATAATGATGGTTACCTACACGCCTTGTTGTGGAAAACCTGTTTTTATCTTTTTATTTTAATTTCCAATATGCATTTTATTGTTTGTATCAGTGGATAGAGTTTCTGGTAGACAGCCTGAAAATTAAGTAGCATATTCTGGTTTTGGTTTTTTTTAATTACAGATTCAATATACACGGAGCGATACATGGGCCTTCCTATAGCAAGTGATAATCTGAACAACTATAATGTAAGAAAGAAAGCACTTTATTTCATGTTTTGAAGTATGTTTTTTCTTTTCTAAACCACTCTATTTTTCTTTATACAATCTAGTTCTTTCCCCATGGGAAGTAAGTTTGTTTCTTCTTTCCAGCTATAACTGAGGCTGTAGCCTCATGCATTTGGATTTGCACAAGGCAGTTACTCCTTGCTGTATGGTGTCGGTTTTCTGTTGTTTGTTTGGTGTGTTGGGTTTTTTTTTTTTTTTTACATTCAGTTCCATTTGGCTACTTTGCAGACTGTAAAACAAGCTGTAAAAACTGTTTTGTTTTCATCACCAAGAAACAAATTTGTTTTAAAATTTAATATGCTCATGAGCAAACTATGCTTTATCTTAAACAACATTTTCACCAAAACAAATGTACTCCAGTTCTTTCTGAAATGTATTTTTTTTTAAATGGATATTGTGTGAACTTTCTTGCTTTAGGACTCTGAAAGCTTTTTACAGGGAAAGCAAAATCTCCTAAATATTGGGAAACTTGACAGGTAGGCAAGTCTGTCTGTATTGTGATCATATCAAACAAATTGCAGACCAACTGAGAGCCAGCAGTGTTTGGGCTGGAATTTTGGCCCCATCTCCATGAACACAGGGTGTCCAAGGTTTGGTTTAAAATGACTAGTGTTTGCCCAGAAGTGAGGGAATTTCCAGGTGTTCTAATGGGAGCAAAATACCTGTAGACTGTTTGTCATCTTTATGGGATGATGAATTGTTTGACTTGCTCTTTTGTGTGCTAGCTGCTTTTTGTTGCCTCAGGGGCTTTTGAAGTAGCAGGTGGCTGAGCGTAGGGCAGAGCAGCCTGAGCCTTCTCTGAGGTTTTGTTAAATTTCAGATCTAGGTGTAAGTACAGTGGCTATTGGAGAACTGTGAGAGATCTGAGGGGTACTTTGTGCTCTGGTTATTGGGATGTTTTACAGAGGTGTTCAGGCCACGGTGATGCTGGAACCAAACATGGATGTCTGTGGAAAAGAGATTGGGCATTCTCTGTGTTCGAGTTGGTAAACAGGCTAGAAGACAGTTTAGCACTGATTGTGTCTTCATGCATTAAAAAAATAAGTGTCGTGGGGGAGGTGGGGGTTGTTGCATTGACTTAGAAGTATGGTAAAACATATAAATACATACATATATGGACTGAAACGTCAGTTTTGACATACCACTAGTAATCTAGCTTTGTCTGATAGAGTAGTATCAGATGTTCTGGTCAAAATTGAGAACAATGGTAGTGACTGCTGAAAGACTTGGTACTGTGTCTGCCTCTTCTAACTAGCGAGCGGCTGGGGCCCGCAGGGACTGACCGGCAGCCTGCGGCCGCCCGCCTGCCTTTTTCCAAATGTGTTTCTTTAAGGCAGTGGGAACAGTAGGAGGTCTGCGAGGTAGCAGTGTAAATAGAAGTTACTGTCGTTGTGCAGAACGAACGTTAACGCTCTGGGTGCACAAAGTCATTCACCAGCTTCACGGCACAGATGGCAACAGAGGACTGTTTAATCCTTTCAAGCCAGGAGTCGGATTTTCTTGGCATAGGATCCATTGCTGGCAATGGCCACGTTGAAACTGCCAGTACCAAAGAGCTAAAGGTTTCAAATGTGTTACTCAGAGGACTAATTGGGGAGAATGGTGGCTAGATGGAGGAGGGGTAATTGCACAGATCAAATTGTCACACTTCACTGCTGCTTCTAGAGATAGGAAAATGCAACTTAAATCCTCATGTGTTGTTAAAAGCCCCAAATAATGTATCACTTGGAATGTACTTTTCCACATAAACCTGGGGGGAGGCATAGCTCAAGAAGTGAGTTTGTTGCTTTTCACGTAGCATCAGTGGAAGGGGTTGTGGGATTTTGTTGTTGCTGAAGACCCTTAGTGACTTCAGCCAGCGTGTTCCTGGCGTACAGCCCCTTTGTGCAATGTCCCAGTCCCGATAGCCAGCCTCCTGGCCTCTTGTTGCTGATAAAAGCTGTTTTCTGAACTAAGTGTTTTTAAGGAAGTATATGCAAAACTTGTACTGAAAGCTCTCCTGACTGAAGCTGTTAACGCATTTTTGAACTGTTAACTTTGTGCTGTCAGGTTTGCATGCTGCATCATAGATTCTCTACCCTTCTGCATGCACTATAAATCTAGCTTGAAAACTGAAAGGTTGCATAAACTCTGTACTGAGGGCTCTAATTTTAAAGAAATGGAACTGTGTACACACCTGCTTAGAGAAGTTGCATGCTGCTGGGAGCCTCCTAATGCGCAGATTGTTAATGACTGTGAATATACAGTCTCAAGAAACTAGTTGCATAAGAGGGTGCACCCTGCCTTAGTATTACTGTGACATTAGGTTTCACATTTTTGAAGGAAGAGAATCAGAAAATTACATACTCTTTGTCAAAAGTCTGAGGCATGACTCACGCTCCTCCAAGTAGGCTAATATTAGGTGTGGTCAGTGCCTTTTAAGGTAGTTGTGAACTATTAAAAATTCGAGCTCTGTAAAAGAAAGGTGAGAGAGCATGGGTGGAGCTCCCCATATAATTAATTAATAGGCTGAATGGCAGAGAAGTTGCCTGGGAAGAAACGTCCCTGATGTAAAAGACTTGAGACTGCATCAGGGCACAGCTCTAGAGGTCAGACGCAGTAGCCGTGTAAAGCATACCGCAGAGACTGTTCAACTTGTGAGAAGATTATTTTGCAGTTCGCTCTGAATTTGATATGCTTTTGGCAAGTGTTTGAAACAGTCATAGATTTGGCAATCTTTTTCTAGCAGATTTGAAATGTTCAGTCCTTAAGAACTGCTGCATCATTAGGTTATGCAAAACAGGGTACAATTTTGTAAATATGCCATCTTGTACTGATTTGACATTTGTTCTATTATCTGAGAATATGCTAAAGGGAGAGAGACCTTCAGTTTCAGCCAAACCTTAACTTGTTTGTGGAGTGCTGATAAAATGTTGACTGCTGTGTGATCTTTAGAAAAGCCAGTTACACTCGGCAGGGCCCAATGCTCAGTACTGTACACCTCACCTTTTCAGAACCTTTGTCCTGGCAGTGTAACTATGAAACGGAAGGGGTAAATTAAATTGTATTTATTTGCTGTCCACTTGACGTTTGTTCACCTGACTGAGCTGTTGCTTTGTGCTGTAACTGTGCCTAACTTGAGAGTGTTCCCTATCTTGCAGCCACCTTTTTTGGAAGAAGTACTGTGTCCTTAAAGCATGTTTTAGGGAAGGGACTCTTCATGTTGAGTATGGGTACAGCAAGTGAGATATCACTTGCAAGTGATAAAAAGCCTAAGAAAGAATCTCTTTTGTGTGTTCCTTCTTTCTGAAGTATTTTATAAATAACTTGTTTAATGCTTGGAGGGGAAAAATAGCGACATCCTTTATTTAAAACTGAGTTCTGAGTTCTCAGAAGTGTAGTTCAAGTCAGGCTTCCACTCGCAGAAGGTTTGTTGTCCCATAAACCAGCACTGATTTGCTGGAAGAAAGCTTATAAAGGTGATCTATCAAGTTTCCCTCTGTACATGTGGAAAATGATGCACTCAAAGGATACTGCTTGGTTCCTTTTTTCATTCCCCCCCCAACCTCTTTTTCCTCTCACTGGGCCATTACTTTCTGAATTATTCTTTGGTCAGCTGCTGTAGCAGTGCTCCTCACTGAATCAAGATCCTCTCTCCAGATTTTGGGACTCTGATAACTATCTGTTCTTGCTGCATGATACCAGCTCGTTTCAACGGATAGTGTCATGCTTCCGGTGTGCACAGATTTCCATATATTAGATGGGATTTCTGGTGCTCTGCAGCCTTTCACTATCAAGAGAGGACAACTGAAATGTTAGGGATTGGAGGGTCATTTTTTTTCTCTCTGCTGAACTTGATTTTTAAGTTTGGTTGTATAACTACAATAAACTCCTTTTACTTATGAGAGGGTTGTGGTACGCTATTCTGCCATGACAAAAGGTATTCAGTATTTATGCTTGCTTTAAAGAATCCTGAGTGTACAAGAGACATAAGGAAATTAGAACACCTCTGTGTCTTGGTAATATAATGTATTTGACTTTTGGGGGTACTAAATGCAAATCTTTGTGTAAGGATACAGCCGTTGTACAAGGTAGGGAATTAAAAAAAAAAAAAAAAGAAACACCCCATTCTTTTGTGTAGTTTTTTTCCTTGCCATTGTAGCTTTTAAGTTGATGTAATATAGAGCAGACTTCCACAGGGATTCAGTCATTTTCAGCAGAGAACCCCTATAATGGTGCAAGAGGTAAATTTAATTCAGTGTATTTTTGCCCTATTATGCTGGTTGTCTTATCAAGCCTAAACCATCTTGTCTCTGTCCCTTTTCTCCTTCCCACTCTCATGGCAGAGCACTATCCTATTCCCTTTCCGTGCCCAAATTAAAAATCTTGCCTGCCATCCCTACTTTCCTCATTCTTTAACACCTATTCACAGTAGAAAGTCAAGTGGTTAGTATGTTCTAGGGAATATGCTGTTAGTGTGTTTAAGTTTCTTGATTAATTTTAGTTGCCGATAATTTTTTTTTCATCACTGTATTGTGTTTCAATTCCTGAAATATAGCCTGACTTCTATTTATAGGTTTAGTCTAGTGGGTTTTTCCTTCAGGCATTTCTCTATCATGTTTGGGGGACAGCATGGTTTTAAACTTCTTGTCAGACATTTTTATTTGAGACTGATGAAATACTGGCTCTGTTGACTTACCTACAGGTAAATGAGTGCACATTGTGGTGGGGAAGAGAATGCATGTAGGCTCTGCAGTATCGACTCTTTGCTATCATAGGGTGCACTGTTGCCATGGCAACATTTTTTTAACTTGTCTGCAATCACACAGGAAACCTATGGCAAGTGGTGTGCTGCAGGCTAACAACATGTTAGCAATGCATTAAATGTGTATCGCACTCGAAAAACTCTTCCCCTCTGGAATTGCCTGTTACTGTGCAGACGTAACCCTTGGTAATAATTGCAGACTGGTGCAGAGGGTTTGAGTGCGAGCACAGTGCTGTGGGATATGTGAACATGCTACTTGGGGGAGCAGGCGTTGTTGTTTTTACCTGAAGGACCCCAGACTGTGTCAACAGGAATCAAAGTCAGTTGGTAGCAAATCATCTTCTAATAAATAGCGCCTTTTTTTTTCTTTTTTTTTCCTTTTCTTTAATTTCAGAGTTCAACAGTAATGGCCAGAGCTGAAAAATTCAAGGAAGTTGAGTATCTTCTTATTCACGGAACAGCAGATGGTGAGTTGCAGTTAATTAGACATTTTAGTATTACAGACAGGTTCACAATTCTACTACTGACAAAACAAAGCATGAAGGGGCAAGGCTGTTACATTTACGTCAATAAAATAATACTGCTTTCTGCAACTAATTTGTGTTTCAGTCAGCAGAAGATTTTCTGTGTTCGTTGTTTTGCTTTTCCCCCAGAGTAGCAGAGAAGCTATTTTTTTTGTTTACCTTTTTCCTCTTTTTCTTCCATTTTTCAGATAATGTTCACTTTCAGCAAGCAGCGCAGATTTCCAAAGCTCTCGTTGACGCTGAAGTGGATTTTCAGGCAATGGTATGGTTCTGTTTTGTTTATCATCATAAAAATGGGTTTGTATTATGAGAAAAACAGCAAAAGCTCCCTGTTGTTAGGTACAAATCAATTGCCATCTTAAGTGAGAGCTGACATACTTGCATTTCATGTTCAGTAACTGAAACTTTCACATATATTTTCTGTACAAGAAAAAATTTAAAGCAACTCCTGCTTGTATTTGACCACGTTTACCTAGTTTTTCATTTTGTTAATTTTTTTGTGTTCTTAAACAGCCAAGCCAATCCCAGTCTTTGCATATACACAAAGTCCAATGAATAGTGTCTTACAGACGGGATATAAGGAAAACTTAACTTCAGCTAAGCCCAAGATCACCTGTCCATGGCATTTGGTATTTCTCTACTGAACTTGCAAGACAAGTAGTTCTTTTGCCCTTCTTAAGCTCAGACTAAGGTGTAAGCTCTTCCTTTCCGACCTTCTTCCAGCCTTGGGAAGCAGTGCTGAAAAGGATAAAGTAGAGAAGGAAGCCAAAAGCACCAGCACATGGCTGTCCTTCAGCCAAACTTGCAGGGCTTACAGGGTGGAGAGATGAGGCACCATTCTAAACTGAGGAGCTGCATCTGCCCTCCATGTGGACAAGCCACGTGTTCATTTTGTACTTTCAGCGTGAATAGATGGTGTATCCCACACAAAAAAGTAGAGACAAAGGTATCACAGCGCCTTCCTGTCACCATCATGTCTCTGCCTCCGTGCTGAATTAGCCTCATTCTGGGATAATTTTAAATGACTGCACATGTTTTCATCTATCATGTTTGATTTATATCATTTAGCTGTAGCTACAACTAATATTCTCTGTACTTTTTTCTCTCCCACAGTGGTATACCGACAAAGACCATGCCATCGCTGGTCAAGCACATAAGCATATTTATACCCATATGAGCCATTTCATAAAGCAGTGTTTCTCACTGCCCTAGCACCAGCATTTTGGTTGTTAGTGATGGTACCACTCCATAAAACTCTCTAGCCAATGTATACTGAGCCACTACAAACTTCTGTGAATCAAGATGTGATAAGCGTTAACTCTTGCGTCACCTGTGTGCACAATGAAATTATAATCTTTATAATGATTTCTGTTGCTAAGCAACTATTGCATTTTTATTGATTGTATTTAATCAGGTCTTAACATCACCAGAATATAGATATGTGGCAGACTTCTAGAAAGCTTAATCAGTAGCTTTTGGTATTTCAGTCTAAAAGAAAAACAGTCCAGTTTCTCTATTAGGGTAATGAATGATGAAAATGGCACAGAGGCACCAACATGGAGATCAGTTGAGGAATAAAAAAAAATGTTTACAACAAAAAATAAAATTAACCCTGTGACCATTTCTGTGAGAATATTGATAAAACTTTAAACACATTTTTCAGAAATTACCTAATACTTGAACAATTATTATTTTATAAACAGTATCAGGAATACTGCAATGTTACTGTTTTCTATGCAGAATGAAACACTTTTTGTTTACTGCATTTCCATGAGTTACGATCATCTGCTCTGCAATCTCATGGATTACAGTTGTAGAAGTCTTCCAGGGAAAGCATGTAACCAGCTTTCACCAGATTTTGAATGATACCTGTTTAAACTGATGACACTGAATTTCTTTGTTTCCTGTCATAGTACTGTGGGGTTTTTGGTTGTTTGTTTTGGTTTTTTTCCTTATTTTATAGTAAGGTAAAATCTTACCTGGCAACTCTAACAGCCCACCATTGTTTCTCTATGGGACAGAAATTTTTTAATTTTTTTTAGAAGTTTCTTACTTACTGATGAATAGGATATATTCCTTGCCCTCAAATGTAAAATGTTACAATGCAAACGCGCAGGCACTTACTTAAAGCAAGGGTTGGACTGTAATTGTCACATGAACATTCTATTTAGCAAACTTGCTTTTCCTTGTAGCCTACCCATAAGCTTCTGCTTTATCTTCAGCGCTCCAGGCCGGCTTCTCCATATGAAGACAAGATTAGTTTTCTTAATTTTACATAGATAGAAAAGATGCAACCCACTTGTACTACAAACTTTGCTGCTTTAAAATAATAAAGACATTAAGTTACGAAAGGAGGTGTAGTCCATATAATTGAAAATATTGCTCAATAAATTAAATCCTAGAATTTTACAAAAAAATCCATTAATTTCAAGAGAGACTAACAGTGAAGTTTCTGCTTTTGTTTAATGGTATCATGTAATGGAGTGTGACAGCTTCTTAATATTAGATGCCAGCATGTGGTTATGGATGTATTGAGGTTTATTAGTGACATTAGATGTGAATGAAAATACTCATTAAGGCAGATAAAACAGGGGGGAGAGGGGGGAGAATGTCAAGACAGTTTGTGCAGATTGTCCTTAAATGAGAGAGAAGAGGGCTTGAGGTGGGGCCCTTCCTTTACTCACAAAATAAAGGGGTTTTTTGGGAAACAAACTGGAGATGAGTATTTAAAAAATAATCTTGGGCTCAGTTTATTAGTGGCTCTAATGTAGATTGGCACCACAGTTACAGTTCAATAGGATATAGCCTGTCAGTTGTCTCCAAAAGGTTATAGAATCCACATCTTCTCATTCTTTTTACTTAAGGGAAATAAACATAAACCAGTATCAACGTAGATCACAGCAAAGCAGATAGGTTATAAAAAAGATGATTATTATGACCTTCTGGATGGCTTGTGTATGCAAGGGGCAAATAGTTGTTTTGTTTCTTTAATGTTATTACTTACACTGTCATACAGACAAAAAGTATTTCTGTAATCCAAAAACTACATTAACTAGGAATGTGTTCCCTTAGTGTAATCAGAGCAGCATTTTAAAAAAACCTTTTAAATAAAACTAAAATTACATCATCTGGGTAAGTCCAGTAAGCAAAGATTCAGTTCTTTGATGTGACCTACCTTACTGATCCTAGCATTCTCTGGGAAACTCCTCTGTATTCTCAAGTCCCATTTTGTGTAAAATCCTAACAAAAGGAGCTGAAGCCTGATGTGGGACTGGTACTGTTCTCAGGCTGGTGAAGAAGCTCAAAGGGCTTTAATAAGATTGAGCCAGCGCTTCAAGTATTGGGTTTTGGCAGTAGTATTTGGCTCTTCACTTTGTGAAGAATAGAGAAGTGTCAGGTGGACATGTACAGTTCTGTACCATAGTGCGTACTTGCTCTTGGTTTTGCAGTGTAAAAGTAAAATTGAAAATTAGTTAGGATAAATATTTATTTTCACATAACATTTCTTAATTGTGAAAAACACAATAGTCTATTCACATGTACACATAAACTTCTGTAATAAATTACATCCAAGAAATTGAGTAATTTTGACCAGGAATATGAAATTAGAAGTAAACATAGCACTACATTTGCTTTATATTGTGTGTGATTTCAGAATGTTAAGATTAACATTGGAATAGCATTTAACTTCACAGAAGAACAGAGTGACTGTTTTAAAATAAAACCACTCTGAAATACTGAACAGAAATACAGAATGCCATTGAATACACTGATTTCTTAATATTCTAAGAGTTGGTCAAGTGAAACTAATACATTTTGATTGTATACATCATCTGTAACAAAGTCAGCAACATATTAAAACACCACCAGCCTGCTTTCGGGACAAACCAGTATTGAACTTCTATACTAACCTTAAAACAATTGGAATCTTACAGTTTATCATCAAGTACACAAAACAAAGCATTTAATCTTAATGCATCAGTATTTTTTTTTTCCTAAATTTACAAATACAAACATTGAATTAAATGTAAATCCTTCTTTGTGTCCATTAGATTATTTTTTTTCCTCCATAAAAATGTCCTTTAATGGGCTTTGATAATGCTAAGTCACATTTAGAACAGTGACCCTATTAGTTTGCAGCAAAATGCAATTATCATTTATGGCTAACGTAGTAAAACATAGACACTCATATGCACCAAAGCATTAGGAATACTCTCAATATGCTCATATGAAAAGTTGTTCACATGAGGTCTATGGAAAGATTATCATATTTTGGAAAGCTAGGGAATGTTTAGAGCCCTGTACATGAGTTGTTACAAAGATTATAAGACCATAATTCTTATTTGTAGGATTCAAAGTAATAGTGTAATAATGAGAATTAGATTTCATTTAATAATTTAAAAATTTATCTTCAAAAAATTTAAAAATCAGTGAATTCCAAATAATGCAATTGAACTTTTGCTCCACATCTCTATTAATTCACTATCTAATCTCACAGTCTGTTTTACACAAAAAAACAGCTTGAAGTATCAGGCAGTAACAAAATCCATTATGAAAAATATCTTCGTAATGGCTTTAAAGCCACATTTTACTTTGCAATGTTGTTTTATCTTTTAATCAATATGTACTTGATGGAATAGTGAAGAGCTGTAACAAAACCAACTGCAGGATACCCTTTTAAGTATTATACACAATTAATCTCTGAATTTAAGAGGTTTACAGTTGTTAGTAGGGAGAGGACAATAAAATTATGCCCTTTATGTGGCTATATTTTAGGCAACAGAGAGGAAAATCATTGGGCAGGTGATATAACTGCATTTGGGGCATAGTTTGTATCTAAAAAATTCTCCCTATTATAAAATAACGATTGATTAATGACATAATGCAGTTGGCCTACCACAGCAACATTCATACAATACAAGATAAGATACTGTAATCACAGATTGTATTTTAAGAAATACTGTATCCATGTTTCACATCAAAGGATGTGGTGGTGTTTTTCAACTAGGGTGAGATAATGTTTTAATATATATTTTAATATATATTTTTAATATATATATAACTATGTGCGTTACATACAAATTTGAATATTAAATACATTGTATTAAATCAAAGAAAACCACAAATACAGAATCTGACCCTGCAATCCTCATTGCAAGAGTAATCCATGACTTCAAAAGGACTTCTTGAGGAGGAAAGGATTATCCTTTGTTCACAGGGTCAGATCAGTTGTTACTTTAAAAACTTCTTTAATGTTTGCTTGTCAGTTTAGGTCTCCTGAAATCATTTACTTGAGTTAAGTGATTTTTAAAAAAAAAAAACTGGAACAAGTGTTTTCAAGTTCATCTTGAATGAAGATTATTAAGTATTCTCACACAGAAAAAGTAGCAAAATACAGTACAAACCTATTAACAGGAAATTTGAATTTGAAAGAAACTTCACTTGTTAAATTTATGATACGAATACTGATAAATGGCCAATATCAGCAAAGAACATGATTTTTTTTTGCTTTGGCTACTGCAGACATACACAGATACTAGACAATGTAGACATTTACACAAGGTGAAATGAGACAAATATTGCACTACATTACCTGTGCTAGTTGGAGATGAAAGACAAAAGTTACAAGGTCAAATGATTTATATTTAGTGGTTGTGGCACTCCTTTCATTCATTTGTAAAAAAATTAATTGAAGAACAAGTCATAGACAAGTCTCCCGATCAACACGTTTCCCTGAGTCAGCTTTCTTCTCTTTTCTGATTTCAGCACTAGGAAATGAAAGGGGGGAAAAAAAAAGTTAGAGCAGCACCACCATATATATTAATGTTCTACCTGAAAAACAACATTGCACTGGTATTTTAATTTTTCATGCTGCATAGCACAAACTGGGAAGCAAGTGAAAGTTTCTCTGCTGAATGGTGCAGAAGACATCAGCCAGCGTCTTAGTGACAAGGTAGGTAGAGAACTTAAAGGTGTACAGGCAGACAAGTCAGCCAGCATGCAAGCAAAGATAGCCACTCGTTTTTCTTTTTTTTTTTTCCGGCAAATACAACTGTTAAAAGCAGTAATGGTACAGTTCTCAGACAGTACTGGCATTTTCTTAAATGGCACAAACAAGGGGTCACAGTAAGTATTTCTTGTCTTTAAAATGTATTCTGTTGCTCAGTGTACATTTAGAAGGGATGTTGCTGAACTAGAGCAGTGCAAGCCAATTTCCAACTGTAATATTTGGCTTTTGGTCTTTATTGGAGAGAACAGGAGAAGGCTGGGGAGTGACAGTAATCCCCATTTGGAGCTTAATACATACTTCCTCATGGATACATTATAAAGAAATAACTTTTTTTTTTTTAAAAGAAGCCTGAAAGATCATACAAAAGCCATATCACTAAGAACTCTGAAGCAGAGTTCAAATTTGGATTCAGCTTTTTTCCAGTTAAAATACTGTAGATTTGCCTATAGAAAGCAATATATGTGCAAAGCAGATTTGATTTTTTTTTTTTGTGAAGAGAGTCCTAACTGACAACAGCATAAATAAATAAAAAGTCATGTTCTTGCAATGAGTTTCAATCACACTATGAAAATGCAAAGAGGCTTCCACAACACAGGCAAATCAAGCCTTCAACAAAGAGTGGCAGGGTATCAAAAAAAAAAGATGGTTCTAAGAACAAACCTGTATCAAGCACATAACCTACCAGGTTTCATGGGAATAATTCCTTAACTAGAATGAATGAGAAATAGGCTAGTTACACAAAGCTTAAAGAAAGCAAGATCAGTTCTCAAATTCTTAAGGTGATTCATGCACAATTTTACAATTATCTGACATTTTTTTCTTCACATAAAAATTGCTTTAAGGATACAATTCAGTTCAGCCAAAGCTTACTTCTACGCCTATGGCAGCTTCCAGAGGTGTTAATGGAAATAGCTAAAGAATACCAACTTCTGCCACTTCAACTGCCAAATCTGTCACCTTCCGTAGAACAGTGATAGAACTGGGTATGTTACATGTTCTGCACACAAAGGGTATGCAAACAAATTCCTGGGGGGGTGAATTTAAAGTGCAGCAGTACAGCAAGCAGAGAGTCACCTATGCTTAGTAAAAGCAAACACTGAGGACAGTCTATGATATTTCCACATTTTAGGTGCCTCTGTAATAACAGGAAAGTTTTCCTTCTATTTAGGGTTCACATCTCTGAGCATCTGCTGCAGATGTGGGCTTTAATGCCTTAAGAAATTGAGGGGGATGAAAAGACCAGTCTTCTACCAAATAAAACACATAACTGGTGGATCTGTAAGGGACTTGGCACTCTCTTCCTCCCTACCAAGGCAGCAGTCTAACAAGGCTGAGGAGAAAGGTCTGGCATGTGGGATTTGCACATCTTCAGGTAGAGAAGGGAACTCCTACCATCTACGAAGTGATAGATAACTCTTTCTCCAATACTTTAAAAGACCAGCCTGGACTACCTTCTATACATGCTCAGATCTTCTGCATGTTTTGAAATTGCTATCTGAAGGGCTCAGTATTATAAGACAAGACAGAGGAATATTTTATTACATTTACCAAAGAGGGCTAAGTTTCAGATAGGTGCCTCAGTGTTCAATTGTACCAAGACAGCCTCAAAAGCAGACCTTTAGGTCCCTAGGAATTTTAATAGTGAAAAATTAAATATGTGAAATTCAGGTGTACAGTTAAGCAACAGTTGGCTAAGTAAATCTCATTTAAGTCCCCTCTTTAGATACTTAAATACTGTTATCAGTCTCAGATGGAAGCACTGGCACACACTATATGTACTACAACACAGGGCCAGGGGCAGGGCAGAGCTTGTGATAGATATTTTTCCTGCATCAGGCTGAGAAATTGTTTGTATAAAGCCTTCCTGCCTAAAATCTCTCTTTGGAGATGCTCTCAGTTTATTATTGGCTAGTCTTTCATTGGCAAATTCAACTCAATATTTAATTAGTATAACAAACTTCTAGATTTTATGTATTCCAGAAATCACCCTATGTTGTTAATTGATCACTGCCTTATGTAAAAGGCATTACATACAATCACAGTTACAGTATCACAATTTAATTATCCCCATTTAATGATATTTTGGGATATTGGTATAAGAAAGTAGACTTGACAACAAGAAGAGGAGTACTAAATGCTTCTGTAGTTGAACTTCAAAAGGCATCAGTAAAATTAATTTCAAACAATGTGATGATTTTTTTTTTTGCTCTATGGTAAGATACCCTTCACTGAAGGGAACTGTGTAATGTAATACTGGTGATCTTGATCACTTGAAAAAATTATCCTTACGACTGCTACCATTCCAAGCTTGCTTTTGTCTCAGTAGTTACCTAAGACTGAATTGTATCTTCATGTAATGATACATGCATTTAGCTCTGTCTCTGTGATTTAAGATTAATGTTCATAAACAAAACCACAGACAACATTAATCTTAATTAATAAATAAATTTCAAATTTTAATATTAAGGACTTTAATGAAGACATTTTACATTCCTATTTGAAATTTCTTTTCATTCTGTCTCCCCAAAAACTACATGAAGTCAAGTCATTTGGGTGACTCACTTTTGAATTGGACAATACAATCAAGGAAAAAGGTTGGGGGACAGGGTCATACCTTTGGGGAATCAGCTTCCAGAGTAATTAGGAAGGGGAGCTTATGCCAAAAATGTGATATGAAACAATTAAGTAGAAAACAGTCAAATGTAAAATTTGTGGAAGCAGAGGAAAATTTATCTTAAAATCACACCGTTCTTGCATTTAATATTTTCTTATTCCCATTATAACTGTGTAGCACAGATAAAACATTGTTGATTCATTTTGCATTTGTCTGGACTAAAATTTAAAAGTATTTAATTGTTTTGAGTACAAGTGAAACAGGCAGAAAAATGAAAAGAGGAGATGCAATCTTAAAATGGTTTTCACTCCCACTATTAGTAGATTGCATTCAGAGCACTGGGTTCTTCATACAGATATTTCCAGGGCAGTCATGACCACTTCTTTTTCAAGAGGAAAGAACAAAAGCAAGCAGAACAGACACAACAGCCGTTGTGCAATATCCAGGTGTAGGCTGGTGGTTCATTACACAAGCATCAGGCATGCTCAACTTCATTTTCCACTGTAGCCTAAGTAAGTAGCATGCAAATATTTGTGATTTTTTTTTTATAAATGTACATAGTGGATTTGCATTTTTAGCTCAGAATATTATGACTGGACATAAATAAGAGTAAACTGCAAGAAATAAAACTGCAAGATGCTAGAAATCTTTCTAATCCCTAGCAAAAACCCCTAATATCGGTTTGACACTAACATATAATTAAGTAAAAAAAAAATTAAAACCTTTTAGAAGGAAAGCTTGACTCCTTATCTTTTGCATTCTCTGAGGATATCAGCAGTGTCTTCCACACAGCAGTTTTTGCCATTTCATCAGAAATGTTTATCACAGATGGGTCATCTCTAGGCAAGAATAAAAGTACATACACAATAAAACAATGAGCAGTCAGACTTTGTTACTTATTAACTCTACAAAGTCCTTGACAACTGATAGTGATGTCAATAAATAAGTGCAATGTAAGTTAAGAAGTTATGTTAAACTTCAAAAATCCTGAACAATGACTTAAGTATTCTCTTAAAACATCATAGCACTTTTGTACTATTTTCTTTCTCCAACAGCAGTTAATCACAGTAACATCAATACATTATTCCAATTCCAACTAATAGACAGAGAAAAATGAGGAAATGTGAAGTTAAATATTGCCCAAGATCTCACAGCATGCCAGTGGCATAGTTGGATTAAACAAGAATCCTAAGAGTTCCTAACAGTTCTCAAAGTACTTATGCTCTGAAACTCCACCTGCCTTTAAAACCATTTTAAAAGCAATCAAAAGCCTTGACAAAGTAAAAGATTTAAGAGATCTAACAAAAATGCCCCAATTAAACAAGCTAATCAGTAGCTGTAAGTAGTACTTTGTAGCCATTATGCCTTTAGTGTTACCTGGACTCTCCAAATATGTATTTATACGCTTAAGAATAATAAAGTCTTAAAAGTTTTAAGGGCCTGCCTGTATATTATTCCCGACTTCATTGTTTATGTATGACTTGACATTCAGTAAACCCTCAGTAAACTTGTTTTCACAGTGTTTTGGGGAATCACTTCATCAACCAATATCTTAATTCTTCTTTTTAGCTGTAGGACTCCTACCCTTACAGTACAGAAAGTCACATATTATCCAGGCAACTCCACTTAAGTAAACAGACTATAGATTAATACAGATCACACCTTCAGATAAAATTAAGCTAAGTGTTGCTAATATAAAATAGAACAAAAAGGTATGGACAAAAGAAGAAAAAAAACGGACCATCAGAAGTGTGATGAATCAAAAATAAGAAATAGACTGATTTTTCGGAGATGCAGACATTTGCCTTAGGAGACATTAGAGTAACTTCATGTTAAAATATAAGAGGAGGCCATTCTGAAATAGTGTTCCTATGAACTCAACATTAAAGCAGAAGTTACTATCAGCAGATATTTCAAATCTTTATTAAGAACTTTCTGAAAAAACTGGACATGAGAGTCCTTATGGGCCTTTACATAGGTTTTCATGCTCAAGTTGTGTCAACCCTGCATTATACCTCATCTACCCTGGATAGCTATTAATTCACTTATGATCTCACATTAGATTCTCATTAGAATGTTTTAAAATGTAATATAGTAAGAAGCTAGTTTTTCTGGTACTCTACTACCAGACAAACATCCTCCTGACATTTATTAAGCATTAAGAATAAATATTGTGGCATGTTTAATTGCAACTCACCTAAAAGAGGAAAGGTATATTTTACCTGTAATGTCCTTCTAGTGGTAACTGAACAGTCCCTTCCTCTTCCATTGCTAACATACTTTGCTCTTCCTAAAAGGAAGGAATTTAGACATGAGATGGGATATAATGTTGTGAAAAGTGAAATTTATGTACTTCAATCCTCTTTCCCCTTTAATTATTTATTTTACATTCTTAAAGTAAGGTACTTTTCAACTCTTAATTTAAATATTTGACATTTAAAACCCTCTATTTGAAAAGATGTATCTTCACTTAATGGTATTTTTCATTGCCAAATAAAGGAGAGACTTTTGTAACAATAAAGAGAAAAATTAGTAACACTGAGTGAGCAACTGTATGGTGAATTTTAAATACCATACATAACAGGATATATACATTGCAATGTTAACATACAAAAATTGGGGAATTCAATTTAAGTTTGCACACACAGTTTTAATAGTGATAAAGTTGTATTGCAGTGAAGGGTAGTGAAACAAGACAGCAATATTAGTTTTCATTGAACAGGGAAAAAACTTCTATGAGTAATAGGAAGTGAAGAAAAATACGACACGTCTACAAAAAAATCTTTCTGTGAAATAATTACAAATTTATAAAATCTATCTTAGGGGGAGGGGAGAGGAAAACAACACCCTTCTAGTACCATTTCTCGCCTGCAAGAACAAAGGAAAACAAGTCTCTGTCTTTCAGATGTCAACTCAAGGCTCCACAGAAGGATTCTCAAGGCCCACACCCCTGTTAGATCAGGAATACCGCAGCCAGGAGGTAAACGTGCCTTCACATGAACATAACAATCAAATCCTGCCCTAAACTGTTGCACTGTGTATGTATGAGCATAACAGACACCCAGAGATCTCCACAACTTTCTTCTCTTTACTAGATGGCTTTGTAACAGTTTACCCTGGTGCCTATTTGAAAGTGTGAGCTGGCTCTCCCAAAAAGAGAGCTTACTGTTTTCCAGCACATCACCCAAAACCCCACATGTGTCTCACACACTGATAAGTTGGTATTAGCTGGAAGAGTCAGTACCATTTTCCAAAATAGTAGAATTTAAGTCCTCTCTGCACAGAAATTTGTTTCTTCTATGTTTTACTACTACAACTATTTTAAAAGTCACAACAGTTTTTTCTCCAAATGGGAGAAGTCACTTTGTTCATTCCTGTCTCAAAAAGACTTAATTATCATCAAAGTGTCTTCCAGAGGAGGTCTGTGATGAGAAGGCATGTATAATATCCACTATAAATGCACAAAGCCTTGGAAAAATGTAATCTAAAAATATAAGAACTTAAGTGAAAGTAGGATCCAATCAAATAAGTTTCAGATCTTGTCAACTGTATTTCTGAATTTTCTTGTGGGTAGAATGCTTCTATTTTTAAAAGCCGTGTGATAGCAACTCTCCAATTAATTCCTTAGGCTACATGTCAGAAGTTTTATTACTAGTTAATTTTGTCATTTCCAGGCTTCACAGCTTCATAAGTTTTTGACAGTTGAACAGTTTTAATAATAGCTCCAAATATCTAGAAATGCCAAAATATGTAAAAATAACCTCTTGAAATAGGCAGTGAATGAAATACAGTAACACCAGTAGATTTTCCCAGTTTTGTTTTCTGATGCCATCCTAACAAGCACGGGAAGGAAAGTGACATATAACCAAAATATAAGGAAAACGAGGAATTCTTTCAAATTACCAGACCCACAAGAGCGCTACCTTGGTTACTTTTGGTTACTCTGAATTGTGATGACAACGGATACTGCGATGAAACAATTCTTTGGTCTACTTCGATTCAAGGGGGAAAACAATGACTCACATATTTTAATTTCAGCCTGGTAGTTTTACAGGCACTAAATAGTAAATAATCATCATTATGTTTATCACCTAGGTAAAACCTTTTCCCCAAAACTTATTCTATGAAAGTACATTGAATGTGTTAAAAAAAGCGAAGTTGTACTTCTCCAGGTTACAGACGAGGCAGTGAGTTGTCAAAGGTCACAGAAGAATCCTAAAGGCAGAGAAATCTAGTTTTCATAGTTACATGTTTAAATTATTAGCTCTGTCCTGTTTCTGCAAATAGACTTACCAATGGGAATCCCTACACACACATTATTTCACTGGTCTCATCACATCTCAGGGCATCCCTAAGGATAAATTGCTGATTTACCCATTCACATTGTCTAGTTTTTGTAGTACCCTTGTACCACCCCAAAAGGTTATGTCTCATGAGTCCCAGGTTTTTGCAGAGGGCTTCAGGGTATCTGAGAATTCATATGCACAACTGTCCCCAGAGCACTCTTGCCTAGAAGTGACCACAGCCTGCCAAAACCTTGTGCCATTATCTGCACCTTCACCTCCCACTGCTGCCACAGCCTCACACCACGCTCCTAATCCAAAGTGCTGACGCAGGACTCACAAATCCCATTTAACATAACCTGACACCAACATACTCTACCTACTACTCCTGCAGTTAGTGTTTCTCCATCAAGACGTGTCTCTCATTTATTTGGGCCCAGCACTGAGGTTCCCTAACAGTTGACGTTGATCAGGTGGTTGATACCAGGGACAAAGAACTCCATCCATTACATATAAAGTTACTTTATATTCCCACAGTTTTATATGATATTCAAACAAGCAATTCATGAAGTAGCAGCTAGATGGAAATACTATCAGAGATGCAAAACTGGTTAGAAAGCTACAATCAGAAAGATCGGTGTTTCAGTGTCAAAATATAGGAATGTTCTGAGTAGAAATGTCTAAGAAGCTGTCCTGTATCAAGTTTATAAGAAATTATTTGAAATTCATATTCTTTGAAAGGAGATGAGGAGTCCAGATCCGAAATAGTCAACTGGGTGGTAGTGTCACAGGCTGTAAGAAAAAGTCTGAAGATCTGGTTAACAGGGATAAGCAGTGTCACTGACCTTTCAATTAGAAAGTGAAAGTAAATTGTTTCTGCAGTAGCAGAAGGAAAATGCTGGCCCAGGATGTAATAGGGATACTGCACAGAGTTACGACCCTGCTGAGCAGAGCAGGCACAGGGTGATGGCGTGTGACGTATGTATGGCTCAGATGTAGCTGGGACACACCGTGCCCTTAAAATCTACAGTACTGTCCTCAGCATCTCCAGCAGGGATGAGACCAGTCCCAAAGCAGCATCAAAGTGCCTCAGGCATCTGAGGCCATTCCTACAGATGCACATTCATCCCTGCACATCATCTGAGTGGGTCTCAGGAGCAATTCCCAGGAGCACTGTAGATACTGTGTTATATAACAGCACGACAGCATAAGAATCTACATAGACTTCCCCACCTAAGCCTATTAGATTTGTATCCTTAAAAGCACTTCGGTAAAACATAACATCGCTCTTTGTATACTGCTAACAAGTCTGTCTGTTGTGTGGAATATGCCTTATTTACAGAATTTTCTCTAAATGTCTGAAGGAGAAACTGATAAAGTGCTACACACCAAAAAAACTTGAAACCATGACCCACCTCCTTCTCAGCATCTTCCAGTTTCTTTTTCTTGCTCTCAGGCATCAAATCGTCTAACCAACTGAGCTCCCGCTTAGTAAAAAAGAAATCCATGAGTTTTCGGACAAATACCAAAGCTAGAACCTGTAAAAATTTTAATTCAAAGAATCAGGAAATTAAGCAAGAAAAACTGGCATATATGTCTGTATAGGAATACTTTTAAAAGTGACCAGAGTTTACAGCTAGAATTTCATCCTTTAATTTGGATAGGCCAACAGCTGGTCTTCCTTTGTTCAGATGAACTATGGCTTGAAGTATTTAACAATCACTGAGGTCAGTAGATACCTTTTATTTTCAATTAGTGAAATAATCTAAGAAAGATCACTTAAGCAGCAGAATAGATTTTTCTTTTATTTCCAGCAAGACACAGAACTATCAGTAAAGTTTCTCAGTGCAATGAACAATCTTCCTTAATGAGCGAATGTTCTTTCTGTAAAATGATTAAGCACTACTCCTTAAATAAAAACATGAATTTTTTAAGATATTTTGAAGAGAAGAATTTTCACTAAGAGAATATATAGTTGGGCTATCCACACATATAAACAGAGTGCAACCTAGACTCAAACTAGAGGTTATACGTAGAATTTTTTCTTAATATAGTATGAATTCCCCTTAAACATTGACTCAAAGCAATATTGTAATTACTGGCCCACAATTAATTTTTTTCTTCAATAATAATTATCCACATGTGAAAAGAAAATAGATTTTAAGAGGCAATAAAAATATTTCATACCATCATAGGAAAGACAATGGCAGCTCTTGAAACCTTTATAATCCACAGAAGCACAAGACAGCTCAGCTGAATTACAGTGAAGAGATGGACCTTTCTAAGAGGAACATGCCTCAGATAAATAAAATCCGGCTGATGCTTTGCTGGCATCCAGAATAACTTTATCCTGTCAAAAAGCTGAAAGAGAAATTTTTAAAAGTTTACACTAAAATGAGCTGTAGGATCATCTACGCTAACATTCACACACTGCCTAGATCCTGAATATCCTAACAATCCAGCTATTATTCTAAAGGCAAAAACTATGCAGAAGTTCAGGAGCACAGGAAAAGATTACCTCAGTTACAACCATGAGCCATGACTCTATACCAGTCCAACAGTGGTAAAGGAATTATCTTCTCTCCAGTTGAGCCACCAGAGTAAGAATGAGAATTGTATTATTTAAGTAAAGTTTAATTATTTGGTTAGTCATACTTCTTAAGTTCCTTTCTATTTTAATACACATTTGTCTCCCTAGGTATTACTATTGCAGATGTGCCAAGATTGTAGATTCTGCTGAATTATATTCTGTATTGTCATACTCCAGGAAACATTCTACTGAGAACTCCGTAATATGTTATAAACAAAGAAAACAGTTACTTTAAAATAGTACTGCTACGATTTCAAGTCAAGAACTCAAAGCTAGGCAAAGTCAGACTTCAAAGCAGACATGAATCAATTGTCAATCAAATGGAATGGAAGTTAAGTTGATCCTGTTGGGCATACACACTATTACACTGCCATCCTAATACATTCTAAACTTTGGGTTTTCAACAACTGAGCTCTGCTTCCTTTAGGACACAAAAAGTTTATCACAGAGGGATCTCTTCAGTCATTTATCTCCTGTGGATGAAACTTTTTTTCCCCAGTTTGCTTCACCAGACACTTTATCCAAGGCTGGTTTATTCTCCCTATTCGGGGGGGGAGAGGTGGGGAGAAGGAAAGCCAGAAGGCCAACTGCCATGCCACTAGGAATGTACATGAGTAGGTTTTTCAGACCTACTTGGCTCCACGCTGTCCTGAGACTTTGTGCTGGCTGCTAGGGCACAGTGATGATGGTGATGCACCATTTCTCCCTACATGGATGAGCCATGCTATATTTACAGTTTCTTCAGGAATTTCAAGTTTCAGGAATTTTTATTGAGGATGTGCAAACTGCATTTTTTTAAAGGCTTATAATTTGGCCAGATTCGAGCAGATTTCTTGTTCACAGAAACAGCAAAAAGCACATCCTCCCACAAAAGCCATCTTATCAAATCTCAATTCCTTGTCCCAGCTTGGGGGAGAGAGAAAGGGAGGGGGATGCTATCACTTTTCCAAGTAAAGATAGCCAGATTTTAGCATGCCTTAAAAACGCTCCTCAATAACGTACCCTTGTTCTGAGAAACAGCTGAACCATATCAAACTGAAATTATCTAATCCTTAGTAAAAGCTAAACTATACTTCTTAGAATATCAACCCAAACGATAAGAGCTAAGCAAAGTTACAGAAGAGTCTCTGAAAACACCAGTCAAAAAAGAGATGTTGCCAGCGTTGCCTCTAAATAACAGAGGGGTTAAAAAAACCAAGTCGTGCAGTCAAAAATTTAAATATAATGAAAGAAAAAATCGGGCATTTTCTTTGCTCTTTGTATTTTACAACCTTTTGCACAGTATAATTCATGTTTTCATCACGATTGTTCTTTCTCAATTGTCTTAGAAGGTGTATCAATACCTCTACTTTCAATAACAAAGGCACTTGAAAATTTGAGTGTTTGTGTCAGATTTGACACCACGCTGCAGTCATCCAGGAGAAATGGTACACAGGATACCACTTCCAACGCTGACCTGAATGCTGGAGTGCCTGGCTTCTGCCAGGGGCTCCTACTTAAGGCCACTGCAGGAGTGGTGCGCTTCCACTAGACTTGCCCTTCACCCCTAAGGCCAGAAATTAAGTAGCAGGGGACTTGTAACATTTCCACTTTCCTTTCTGGGGCATTTACTTGCACAGGAAATATCTTCAAAATCTCACCTATGTCCGTTTTAGGGCAAGTTAGTCAAAAGCCTCATATAGGCAAAGTTCAACATCAAGTGTACCACTACAAAAGCACAAACTTGGAAGCTGAAAAGGTAGCAGACAAGCAAGTGCACAGGGAGGCAGGGGAGAGGGAAGAGCTCCTGATAGTTGTTACTCAGTTTTTAGGCTCAGCCAAAATTCCCTTGATAACAAGGGAGAACAGAAAAATTGACACCTAAAAAATAAAAAATTGGAGCACATTACCTAAAGGGAATACTCTATTTATAGAGAATCCATTTTCCTTTTTAGGTGAGTCACTTTCAAGAATTTAAGGTTGGCAATGTTCCTTTAAGACTATACACAAAGGATAATAAAATAATATAATAAGAATAGCTACACATTTTATAGAAAGCATCATCAGTAACACACTTCATAAATGCACTTTACCTGAATTCCCTTTAGAGATGAAGCACCCATGTAAAGAAATACTCCATAAAGTACTGGCATAGGAATAAACTGCACAAACAAGCAGAGAAAGGGAAGAGAATATTAAACAGCATTTAACAATTTCAAATGCTTCTAGAGAGACATTCTAAACAGTTGAAATTCAAAGTGCCATATGCCTGCATTAATCAGACAAGTTGTAAATTCACTCAATTACAAATTAATAATGTTCCTCAGAGTATAAAGCAAAAGAAGAATCTGGCTCTACAGTTTTATTTTCCTCTCACGGTCAGTTATTACAATATATTTTATTCACTATTAATAAAATTAACAGACTTACATGAAAAATCAAAGTGTTTGGTACATACTTAAATTCTTTACTTAAAAGACTGCTCAGGCGAGCATGTGAATAGTAAAGCTGTAATCATCATAAATGTTCAAGACACACAAAATACTTCATACTGCTAAAAGAAATGTTCTGTGCTGTAAGCATTTAAAAATAGGTGACTGACTTTTATGGAATTATTTTGTAGGAGAATATTTTAAATGTTCAGGCTCTCAGTATACGGTGTGTAGGTAAAGGAATATTTCCATATATAAGTATCTGGTTTAAATACTAAATACACAAAAGCATGTTATGTCAGTTTTCGAAGTGAAGGTTTTATGATCTACTTAACAAAATACTACCGAGAAGTACAAGTTCTAAGGGCTTATTGCTTTCACTGGGACAACATGCAAATCTAAATTCTGGTCTTACCAAATCCAGTGGCAAAATTCTCACTGATTTCACAGAGGCCAGATAATTCTTAAAATCAGTAAGTATTATGTATATAGATGGTATTATATATGCATGTAACTAGACATCCAGTTTCAGGATACCAGTGAGCAGTGTTGAGTATACAGGCAGCACGAGTGAATGTTCATGTTCATTTCCAAGAAATGAACCAATGAACCACAGAACTTCTCTTGCAACTGTGAAAATATTTTTAAACTATCCACAGATCACAAAATGTTTTTAAATTTTTAAAATAAATTTACTTATTGGTATAACTTAGCAAGACTGTTTCATGATAATTTGCCATGGGCCCAAAGCATAGACAAAGCATGAATTGTCATATACCACCAGTCAACAGCAGAATTCCCTGTGACATCAGTCAGGCCAGATTCTCATTACAAGGTTTTTATTTTTAAAATGTTAGAGGTCCCTAGCCATTTTATTATGTAGAATTAGAATTCCACTTTAGGTTATCATTGTGTAACATTATGCTAGCTAGTAATGTGCCTGGAAAGGGCATTTATTAAATAACACAGTAATAACAGTGAAATGCTGAGTACAGAGCAGTGTTCTTCAGCTTTTCCTTACTTCCCCCAGTTACCTTCAGGATACTTGTCAAAAAGACAGATGAGCCCATAAGGATAAAAATCATGAGCCCTGTGACTCTTTGCTCCCGGATTCCAAGAAATTTTGGCTGCTCCCCTGGAGCGGAGCACTCTGATTCCAGTTTTAGGCTATTCACATGGGAAATAGAGAGGACAGTGGCTGCAACAAACCACGGCAATCCCATAATAGAGCACACTCCAAGCATGACTGCCACCATGAGTAGGTCGAGATGGTATCCACATCCTTTCTGTTAAAAAAAGTAATGACAGCAAGAAGATATAAAATGACATCTGAATTAAGGAGAACACTCCTGATAGGCATTCCTAAGGAACAGTTAGAGACAATTTTAAAAGTTGTGACTTGTAGAAAAAAAATAGCTTTCTTCCATGTGTTAGCCAGGCTGGGTCAGTAGTGATGGATAACTGGTTATCTAAGGGTAATTCCTACTAGTTCAGAAGAAATGCTTAATGTTATTAGGCTCATTCCAGTTATGAATTAAGCATACATATCATAAATCAACTTTACAATGGGCACCAAATACCTACCCTTCTTGCTTATAAAAGAGACACTAGTAAGACAATGGAAAATACATACATTTTATTTTTTAACTAAATCTTTTCTGTGGATAATGGTAAGCAGAACATCCAGCTGCAGTGCCAACTTTCCACTGTACTAATCTTAATAGACTCTCCATCAAACCTTACAGAGGAAGTGGAAAAATAGGTATTTTGATTCTTTCCTACACAAAAATTCTTAAGTTAACATTTGCAAAGTCAGTTTATGCTATAGAGGGCCATAAAACCACATTGATCCTTTTGGAAGTTTTTATAGATGGTAAGCATGTGACAGTAGTAAGTTTTCACTAACGTACTTTCATTTTATCTAGAACAGATAGCTAGAAATTAAGTGAAATTAAACTATAATTAAGCTATACATTAAACTGTAAAATAATATTCATCATCAGGTACTGTTTTGATGGTTTCTTTATTCAGTACTTAAAAGTAGTATCATAAGCATTCATATGAGAAGTCAGTACAAAACCTCTGAGTTGGGATCATTGCTGTAGTAATCAAATACTCCATGAATTTACCAACAGGAGGATGTTGCTTTGCTTTTGTAGTAGTTGATAAAACTTTGGTCAAACCTTAGATACATTTAAAAACCTGCAGATACAATCTGCACTTGAAAATGACTAATGATCTGCATCAAGCTTCGTTGCATAGGTATCTGTTACCATAGCTGAGAGGAATATTTCTTCTCAACCACTCAGCTGCAAGCAGAAGCTCAAGCCATTTTCCTTTAAGAAGTCAGGTAGGTAGTTATCTCCGCAAAATTTTGCAATATGGCAACAAATCCAGTGTCATTGTCTGATGAAACAGTGATGTTCATGCAAACAATGTGAATATGTTGAACCATAATTTTGCCTGTAAACCCATGCAAATACCTTTTGACATAAAAAAAGTAACTACACTAAACTTGGAAGGGTTTGCTACAGAGACTGCCAAAAGCTGAAATGTGCACTATTGAGAATTTGCTATGGGGAGTATAAAAAAAGAAGGGAAAATGAGTTGGAAGCAAACAAATCATTTCTTTCTGAAGACAACTTTTACTTCTAAAATGGGAAGCGTCTGGGTTTATGAAAATGTAAGCCACATACCAAAATGAAAATGCCATCTTATTTGCTTATATTATTTTAAAAGGGGAATTCATATAAAGTAAAGAAAACAAAAAGAATCAACTCGAGCAACCATCCCTCACTCCCCAAAAGTGCTCATGAGTCTTAATCTCCAAGACACATCTTGACAAACTCAGAGATGTGTCACACAGAGATATTAGTTACATGCACAATGCACTCAAAGAAAAAGTTTAATTCTAAATCCTAAGAGAGACACCTTTTTTTACCTTCTGACACATTTATGAGCAATGTATCTGTTAATGCATACAGAATCTGAGAGCATTTCCTCACATTCATACATGATCTGAGGAACCTGACATATGGGAAGAAAAGGAAGCATAGCAACAGGTGATGCTACACCAGACCCCAGCAAAACTAAAACGCAGCAAGACAAGGGGGCAGCCAGGAGGACCATCTGACTCCCAGATGCCAGTGCTGAAAAAACACATTCCAAAGCTTGGCAGCAAATTCCTGCATCTGTCAAGTTAACCACATGCAATGCTATGGATTGACATGAAGAGCCAGGCTGACAAAGAGGGCAAAAAAAGAACATATCAAATGTCACAATCATCCAAGAAGAGGCAGTGCAAAGTGAAGGTTGCAAATGTATTTGCTAAAGCAACTTGGGATTGGATTGCTGCTTATTAAAAGTATGTCAAAAAAAGTCTAAGCTCGCTGCATATACATGTACAGAAACCTGCTGCTAGATTTTGCCCAACAGTTTTTTAGAGGGGTGATGTCCCTTTTTCTCTCTCCATCTGTAGGCAACTAAAGTGTTAGAGAACAGTGCTGGAAGTTGTCCTATGTTGTGTTAAGAACCCATTGTGCCTCTAAAACTCAGTTTCATTCTTCTCCCTTCTTTAAGATAGGAAGGGAAAAAAAAATGGATGGGTAGAACCACAAAGAATGAAGAGAGGAAAAAATAGAATCTTATACTACAAAATAACTCCTCTTCAAAATCCAATCCAGTAGAACACCACTGCCAATATCTGAAGAGGCAATTAATATCATGTTACTCAAGGAAATTATTAATTTCCAGATTTTTTTCCTTTGGGTATCATACTTCTAATAAAGCACAGAGGATAGTACTTTCTTGATTCAGAATCTCTGTTTCAAATCACATTCATAAAGACCATCTGTAAGGCACAGGGCATAGGTACTACACAGGTCAACAGAAAAAGCATAACAATTTAAAAGAGTGCTATGTAACATATCATAAATTACCACACTCAAGCAGATGAAGGTACATTACATAACCTGAAGCAGAAAACAACAGTGAAAATATAACTATTTGAATAAATACCTTTAGTTTGTGTTCTTTTCTATTGATAATGACAGCTGTGATCTGCTGGTCCATAAAGATAAGGATAGTACAAAGCAGGGCTGGAATTACTGCAGCTATCACTGTCCACCAAGGATTAGGTCCCAAAGGAGTAATAAACCAGCCACGATCATCTCTGGTGGGCTATAAAAACAGTGTCATGTGAGACCATTCAGAACTCTAAGGTTTATTTACATTTCAACTTCAAAAGAATACATACAAAAACATTACTAGGATACCATTTTCTTTAAAATGAATCTATGTAAGAGCACAGGAAAATGCTAAACTTCCCTATGATACCAAAATGAGAAGTTACATATAATAAAATCATCTGGGATATTACAGACTTGTCTGTATCCGATACGATGAGCCCAGAATTTGGAAGGAGCCCCAGAACATTACAGTAGGCTAGGATTTGGGTAATTTGAGCTAGGCTGGTCCTCGTACAGAAGACATTAGGAAGCGTGAAGGGCTTGATGGGAGAGGCTCACTTACATGGGCCACTAACCAGAGAAGTTGCATAGTACTTTGTGAACACGAAAAATTCAGAATAGTATCACTACTCCTTGATGATAAAAAAAATATAGTAAATCCACTATAGCACACTACTTTGTCAAAATAAGAAGGCAGTGCAATTTATCAATAAATTACCTTAAAAGCATTTGGAACCTGAAGCTTTGGTGATGGAATCCCAATGGCATAGTCAATTAAAACCATGGACAAAATAGTGAGAAAGACAGCAAAATCGCTGACAACAGATCGTACCTGCGGTTTTTGAGAGAAATTACAATTTTATCTAAAACATTCATGTGTGATTTAGGATTTATTTTTCTTCACTGGTTTAAGCCATTTTGTGCTTACAGCTAAAACCATGCTTGTTCTGACACAATTTTCTAATATAGAAAAGATGCAGTGTACACTCACCAGCAGTTATCTAAATTTGCAATGCAGATGGAATTCATGCTTATACATGATTAATGACAACTTTAGAATTTAAAAAAATGGCACAAACCTTTGTGGGGAAGTATCGGCTAGTTTTGAACTGCTTCAGTGTGGATGACAATGTTACTGTAGAAAAGAATAAGATGACAGACCAGAAGAGGACATCTGGAACATAAGGGCCATGATGACCACAGGCTCGTCCAACAAACTCTCCATGAAACTTTTTACATTCCTATCAGAGAGAGCAAAGTAGTACTGTTCTGAAAAATATCCATGCTTGCACTGGTATTTTCTTTCCAATTACATGCCTAAATTGCAAGCAGATTGTATTACTAGAAATACTAAAATTTTATTTAGATAGATATTCTTTTAAAAATCAGAACTCCAAACATTTGTATCTAGTCTGAATGGAAAACTCTGAAACCCTCAAAAGAATCTTTTTTAACCAGTATTAAATGAAGTCACTACGACATACCTGAAATAAAAGTCATTAATATAAAACCAGATTTATTTCAAACTGAACAAGTACACTTACTTATCTTCTGTTTACAAACACAGATTTGCATTTCCTAATTTCTTCCAAGAGAGAAAAGCGAAGTACCAAAAGAAAGGCTGATCCTGGTGCATTCTCAAGAACTGATTTTTTGTTTTAACTTCATAGGTTGAGCAATTCAAGAAAAAGCTACTTAGAATGTACAGTATTAGCCTAAAAGGAGACCAAGACATTTAATACCACATGGGGGCAGTACATTCCACAAACTATCTTTTTCTTTAAAAAAGTGATCTGATAAAATGCAGTAAAATCCAAAATTTGTAACATTAATTCTATCCAATATAATATATGATCAAATATTCAGAAACAGCAGAAAACATACCTAGTAATTCTCCCATACCATCCTTAGTTGTTTAAAATCATATTTGTTCCAAGGTAACAAGCAGAGAAAATAAGAGTAGCTCTAAAAACTACAAGCTCACAATCCTTTCCTTCTTCTTCCCAAATCCCTCCACACATATTAAGCAAAAATAAACGCAGCACCCAGAATCAGATATTCCAGGCAGCAATATCCTGCCAGATCTGAATCTTTTAGTATCAAACGAACTGGGTCATTGGCTCATCAGTCTCAAGTCACAATACTGTGGCTTGATACGTTATGAGAAACTTTGACGTTGAAAAAAAGCTGGCTTGAAAAAAAACACAGTTGCTATTTGAGGACTGTGAGACAAAGGAGTGCAAAACTTTCATACTGGTATAGCAGTACAAATATGGGATAAATATGATGCACTTCTGACTAATGAAATAAAGGGTTTGAATGGGGAAAAAAATTCTCAGGAAATCCAGAAGAAATTCTCAAGATTCTGGGACACCAAATAGAAAACTTATCCTGGCCTGAGCTAGACTTTGATGTTGGGACAGCACAGGGATGAATTTCATCATATACCTACTAAAAAGAATTTTGTCACCATAAACACTTTGCTCATACTCGTTTTGTCCTAGATAGCAAAAAAAATTGTTAGTCCTACTGTTGTGCCAATATAAATCTTCAGAAACTTGAACCTTTTAAATCAGACACAAGAAACAACAGGAATAAATGAGCAGTAAAAAAGAGTGGGGTGAGATTGACTAAATATTTAGAGACAACTAGGTCTAATCTTTTACTGCAAATCTCTAGAACAGAAGAACAGAAGTTTCCTGATGATGCTTGCAAGAAATAAATATATGCAAGTACCAAAAATTTCAGTTATTTCTTTGGCAATTATAGGGACTCATGGGAAAAGTCAGTCAGTTGTACTGCTACCCATGTAAACTCAAGTTTTGGTAATAAGCTTTTACAGAAGTTTTAAAGGGTTTTATATAATGCATTCAGTCTTACATTTACAGTTAAAACAAGATCTGTTATTTTAAATCTCCTCAGCTGCAAATGTACTCTGAAAAACACTGTCAGAGATCTGAGAAAGTGAGAGGAGGAGTCTGCCCCTGCACAGATGCTCTTAGAGTGTGCTGCAATTTTGGGAATATTCATTCTGGATTGCTGGAATCCCTCAGGCCAGCAGTTCTTAACTTTCTCTCTGCTGTTGCCACACCAACACAGTTGAGGAGCAGTCTTTGCTATCAAGACAGAGCAACCATGGAAGGCAGGTCTTCCTTAACTCATGATAGGAGGACACCAGTTCTTTTCCACTCCTGCCTTTGAAAGAAAAAACAGTACCTGCTGGAGATGGTCCACTGGCTTGGCTTTTAAGTGTTATGCCTATGATGGGGTTAATTCAGTTATATTTTTGAAAGAACCCTTCAGTTTGGTCTCTTTTGCACTCAAATCTCTTTGATTGTGTAATGAAATTATACAGTTGTGAGAAAAAGTGGTGGTCTGATCTCAATATGACATTTTATTCAAGCTGTAAATGTTGCTTTAAAGAAGGCAAACCTGAAGTAATAAATCCTTTAAACTTAGCAAAGTTTACTGTTTAGAAACAAGTTAAATCTCCATGCAAGCTCCCCAAACTGTTTGTAGCTTGTCCCCCCCCCACCAAAAAAATTACACAACAAAGGCATGAACACATTAAACAACTGAATGCCTACTTAAGAGAGAAATTTGGTTACTGAACAGAGAATCTTACAAAATTACTCCCCTTCTCCTTTATGGCCCAAACAGCTGTAAAAATGTTTTAGGGGAAATAAATGCTTCTGAGTCATTCTACACAATGGAACTCTGGTTTTGCCACCTGGCAGAATCTGGGACAAATCCACTGTCATTTGACACGTGTAGACTTAATCTCAGTCAAACTCTTGTGCTAGTTTGTCGTTTCCAAAGCAGGGCACAAAATGCACATACTTGCTTTAACGTGTACTATCAAAGGCTATAAAATGCTTACAAAAGGAGATAATGCTACAGAGTCCATGTTAATCTTTGTCCATTTAAGCATACATTTTAATTGGACAAATATGATTAGAAAAAAACATGGTATTTTTTCCAGTATATTTGCTGGAGTAGGAGAGACAAGACAAAATTGTTTATGCTTGGCCAGGCTCTGGATAGGCCAGTCCTATCACTGGCCACTCCCAGTGGTGTCCAGTGATAGGACGAGAGGCAACAGACACAAGCTGGAACACAGGAGGTTCTGCTTAAACATAAGGAAAAACATTTTTACTGGGAGGGTGCCAGAGCACTGGAACAGGCTGCTCAGAGAGGTTGTGGAGTCTCCTTCTCTGGAGAGACTCAAAACCTGCATGGATGCAGTCCTGTGCAACTTGCTCTAGGTGAACCTGCTTTGGCAGGGGGGTTGGACTAGATGATCTCCTGAGGTCCCTTCCAACCCTTACCATTCTGAGATTCTTTGATTATGCCTTTATAGATTAAGTTCCAATATTTCACTTACTGACACAGTTAGGTTCCCCCATGGTACATCAGATGCAGATATATTGTAGTCCTGCCAGTATCGTAAGGTTTTATTGCTAGGATATTCTGGTTCCACACAATTGCATCTGAAAAGACAAAATAATATTTTTTTCCTTAATAATAAAGATGTATCAGAAATTAATCCAAAATACCAACTTTATGATATAATGCAATTGTGCTTTACTTTGCCAGGTAATTTTAGTTCAAATGAATTCAGTAAACACATGCTTTGAAGCAGTTTGTAGTTTGGTAGCTAGTGCTATTACTAGAGTATAATTTGCTGTGAGGTGCATATGCATATATAGTATGGAATGTGACATATTTGAACCACTGTCCACAGCAAGCTTTTCCACCTATTTTTCTCCTATTCTATTGATACGTCAAAGCACAGTTCGTAATACTGAGAACGTGACAGTCCTGTTCCCCTTCTTTATACCTAACACTTCCTGACATGGGGATTAGATACTATGCACAGTTCCAGGCTGATCCGTTTCTCAAATGCAAACTGTCTGTATCTGTGTTCTCTTTCTTGCTCTTTACCAGAATGTCTTTGCATGCAAAACTGCCAAAATGGCCGGTCAACCATCAGGACTCTGCAAGATCATCAGCACCAAAGGCTCTGTGAACTTTTGTGCCCATTGTTTTTCCTTTCCCCACAGCTGCTTTAAAAATGTGCTTTTAATTTTAAATTGTGTATTTTAACATACAAAACATGACGAGGCAGTATGGGAGGACAATACTGCAAAAAGGCAATTTAAAATCAAAATTAAGTCCTTAAAGCCTCTGAAGCAACTGTGGGAGGCTTTTTCTTTCATAAAGCCTGCAAAATATGCAGGATATTTTGTAGGTTCCAAAACATCAAGTGTGCTTTGCAGTTCTCTTTAAATTAATCCTACTTTTAAAATGTATAGTACTATCTATCCTGCTAGTATTTTAACATGCTTATGATGGCTGTAAATAAATTCTGTACTCTCCTTTCCGATAAAGGTTTCAGGAGTAGCTGGGGCAGGATAACATCTGACTATAGAACCATTAAGCATACATTTGCATTACAGTTCTATAAGAGTACCAGTTTGTTCACTTAGCTACGCCATCTATTTTCTCTGTGACAGTTTACCTTTCCACAATAAGACAATTCTCATCTGTAATATTTTCTGCGTAAGAAATGCTACCATCTACATTATGATTACAGAATAGCACCACAGTATTTTGATTACAATACTATACATGTGACAACAGCTGCATTTAATATATACATCAAGAGAGATGCAGGTTGTCTTTGTGCATCTCCTTGCTTTTATTTTAAATGCAGCTATTTATAAAAGAAAGAAAAAATCCTTACAGCCCATGAACGAAAAGCAAAAAAAAAAAAGCACCAGCATTCAGAGAAATAGAGGGCCTGAGCCAAAAGTCATTAAAGAAGACTGGATCTTTCAAACATATTTAATATGCTTTGGATCAGGCCCCAAGTGCAGAATGAATGCGTGTTCAATGCGTAGTTTAAAATATTACGAAGCGGGTTAAATGAAGCACATCACTACTGGTGAGCTACGGTAGCATAATAAAGTCAACCAAAGCTATGTCTATGTTATCGCAAGGGAGTATTTGATGTTCATGCAACAAAACAGAGGTGGCTATTTCAGGTTACTACTGTTTCCTGGGAGCACAGGAGCTCCCTGCCCCTTGATGTCCATCGCTGATCGCAGACTGGCCAGACGCTGGGCGATGGCCCATTGGGGTTTGATTACAGTACGCCAAGGTGACATGGGCTGTTCAATCACAGTCACTTTCTCACTAGAAGGGAAGACTGTGCGTGTCACCAACACTACATGGTACAGTTACACTTGCTGCAACCTACAAAATTATGTTTAAGAGTTAGAGAAGTCACAACTTCTATTCCCTCAGTCAGAAACATGACAATTGAAGCTATAGTTTAATATAGCTCCAGTAATTCACCTTCAGATGAGATCACCACCCTGTTTATTTCTGTATCAACACCACTTTCCTCCTTCACAGCATTGCAGTCCAGGCTCTACCAAATCGCACAAGCTCATGAACAATCTGCAATCAGTAAATGCAAGTAAGTGACTTCTGCAAACTCCACTCACGCAGACCAAAACCACTCTGTACTCAGCTTTTGTCACTGAATCGGTGCAGAATTAGGCCCTAACTGTAAAGATCAGATACTGCCTTCTGCTGTGAAGACCACTATATAACATTATATTGTTTTCAATACTATTTGTCTTTTGGCAACATTAACACTTTGATGTGAGATTGTATCACAGTGTAACTATCTTCCTAGTGTAGGAAGTGTAACTAGGATCACACTAATCGCTTAACAACATAGAAATGTGAGATGGTAAGATACTCCCTGTCCAGCCCAGAAAACACAACTGGAGGTACCATTCAGTGCCAGAACATAAAATATTATCTACCAAAACATGACATTTATTTACAGATGTTATTGCTTCAAGGATGACTATTTCCCAACACAAATGACCTGCAAGGAGAAACTCTCATTAGAGAAAAAAGGCTTTCTGCTTTAACCTTTGAAAACTTTTAGTCTCTTCCATTGTCATTTTTGCTCTGTGAGGTCAGCTCTCAGGAGAAAAAGTGAAATACACAAAATTGTTAACCATTAACAAATCTTGCTGTTTTCTTGATAATATATTACTCAGAAGGCTGGAATAAGTAAAAAATGTATTGCCCCTTGGAAGTTCAAATGCTCTTAAATTCTTGTGAAGTCGTTTAAGTCACTTAGCGCTTGCCCACTACAAGAAATCTATGTGGAGTTTCTGCTATTACCAATGAGCAACAGACCATACATACACTTGTATTTTCTAAGCAACATATTCAGCTCCAAATACAGTACCAAATTAGCAACATACTCCCATGCCTTTTAGTGATAAGGAGTCAGCAATCATCTTGGTTAAGCTGAAAGATACAGAATGATTAACTTGATTCTCTTTCATCATGGCTAGGAAGAAACTGAGTTTTTTAATGGCTAGAATATAGGCAGGGAATACTCTGACATTGGTTGTGGTGACAAAAACATAGGTGTCACTATAGTGAAAATAAAAAAAAATTCTCTGCTGCCAATCTCACAATACACCCATTTCATCACACTGATGAGAGAACAATTCTTCTCGTGTCTTTACACTTTTGGCTACCGCAAGACGTTCTGATCTCCTGGGAGCAATTCAGATGTCTAAACATAGGTGCCTATATACCCCATGGTGTCTGTGACATCCGTGATGGGTTGGCATATATGTAAGAGGGTCTATGGTGACTCATGCCTTTGTTTTCACAGCAGTTGGAGGCTGAGAGATCTAAAATGGCACTAGATACCCAGTCACAGGTCACTCCTGTATTTTCAGTGTCCATATTTTACAACTAGGCAGAAATCAGTGGAGTTTGCTTTCTTCCAGGTTACTTAAAACAGCTAATACAGCCTATTACAAAGTGACTTATAAATCTGAGGTAGAATAATAAACCATTTCAGACAAGACAGTCTTCAGGAAACTGCAGGAGAACTGTCACAAGATCAGAACTGACAGATGGAGAAAATAACAGAAAAATAATGGCCCAAACCAGAGCAAGGAGTCTACTGCCTTTACATCTTCCAAGGTGCTCAAAAAATCTCTGTCAAATCAGGACGCGGAACAAAGGCAGATTAAAATTAATAAATTTCAGGGCTGGCTAACAAACCAGGTCCTCTGGAGCCTGTACTTCTCTCCCTTTTACAGGAGGATCAAGACTTCAGCTACATCTTCAGCACCAATCCAACTGTAACAGTATAGGCAGTATAGGTCACTGATGGCACCCCATTCCCTTCTCTGTTCTCTCAAACTCCCCACATTTTTCCTAGCTCTTTTTGCCTTTGTTTCCTAAGCCTCAATTTCATAAATTTCATTAACTTGAGGCAGTCATCATAACTTCACTGTGTGCGACATTTCCTACAACTTGTTCTGTTTTCAAAGAACAGAGATAGGATTTGACAACAGCAGCTTCAGGACATCTCAGACAACCAGCAGTGTTCTTTGTTCCCCAAAAGGAACAGTTATTATTATCCTTAATAGTCAGTATTATTCCTCTTTCTTTGGACAATGGGGAAGGGCATACGGGCTAGTAAATCAGAAACTTGTTATTTTATATGTAAAGTTGGGGAATATTTTCACTCTCCTTTGTAGATCAGCAATAAAAGATAAACATAGTTGTTGCTCAACAATCAGTCAGGTGAAAGGTTCTGTACTAAAAACACTTCAATCCTGTCTGTAAACTTCTGTTTACAGCAAAACAAGAAACTAATTCCCTAGGCCTATTTGTTTAATTGAAATTAACATGAATCTGGTGGGGGAATCTCTCTCATTTCCACCTCTTACCCCCAATCCTTCAGGCTTGGTCTTTGTCATTTTCTTCTCTTCAACCTGTTATGCACACTTTCCTCCCCACACAGACTTTAAACATGCAGCATGGTGCTAGTCCATTCTGCTGCCATTACAAATAGCATAAGAACAAGAGCCTTGCACAGTGTTTTTATGAGTAAATAAAACACACTTAAATGGTGCAGCTCCTTTGAAAGCCTCATGGCCATTCATCCCTAGGCAATTGCCATTTTTCAGTATATTGTTTTCAAGACTAGGAGGCACTTACTATTGCTGATTTTATCCATTTATAAGGCACTGTTTTGGAGCTCCTATTTTTCCAGCATGTACATTCTGCAAGCTATACCTATTTATACTAGTTAAGGAACTTACCTACAAAAGATGCAATTGCAGCTTCTTCATGATTAGCCAACATACAATTTCCCCTTCCTGGAAGGGCAAAATCTCTTTCTGGATCACTTAAGATAGAGAATGAGATTTGCTCGATATGAATATTTATATTTTTTTAAAAAACCCAACAGGAAGGTATGACAAATAAGTTACAAAATGTGCTGGTTTAAACAGTATGTCTCACTGTATCAGAGCACATTTCTGGTAATATGAGTAAGAAGTTTTTCCCTAATACACAGAGTATGCTCAACAGGTGTGCTAGGCACTGATCACAGAACAGAGACAGAATAAGAAGATGGTATGAAATGGAA